GGTCTTCAAAGTGATATACAAAACTCCGTTCAAGGTTAGGACTTTGAAGGAGTACAAGAGGTTCGTGGAACGGTCGAGGAGGGAATCGAGCTCTGTGAGCGGTTTCGGAGGGTAGATTGTGTTTTTTTTTTTAAATATGATAAATTTAGGATGAATATTAAGCGGACGAGGAAGCGAAAAAATTGTGTTCTAATCAATTTCAGATGGATAATATACAACAAACATGTGTTGGTAAATGTAAATCATTTCCAAGAAATAGATTGCCAAATGTTTCACAAAAACTATTAACCTTAACAAGAATTTTTTGCAAACGAAATACCTCTAAAAATGTGCAACATTTGCACAAAGACTTCTTTTTGAAACTAATTCTAAATTCCTCTTATCAACCCAATAATAAATTCGACTTATTTAGGCCATAAATCGCGCGAAAAATTTCGTTCGGACCCGTTTTTTTTTTCTGTTTTTTTCGAAACGTGTTGTTGGAACAACCTGCGACTTGGATGTTCTCTAGATAATTTCGTACAGCTGTTGTATTTCAGTAACGTTAAGGAGCCGGGGCAACGAGAAAGTGCCTCGAAATTACATTATCCTCCTCTCTCAGGATCTTCCTGTTCGAACTAGCCGATATTTTATTCCTTTTGCCTTAGATTCTCTCATTTGGGGGAACCCTCGGTGATTAACTAGAAAGCTTTGGAAATGTATTAAACGTCCTGCAGCATCAATTTATTTTTAGTTTATTAAAATTATATTTCTTTTGCTTTGTGCAGCGTTTCTGCAAGTTCTCTCAAATTGGTATTTATCTACGCACTTACAATTTATTATATTTTTTTTTTGTAATTTCCATTTTTCTTTGTTGTTATTTGGTGTGTCAAATAATTCTAAATTGTCAGAATTTCTGCTTTATAAAGCATAAAAATCATTTCGTTTAAATGTTATTAGATTGAAAAATAACCAAACGTCTTCCTAAGAATTTATATTCTGAAGGATTTAACAAACATTTTAAGGCGCAATTTAATACTTATTCAATTATTTATATTCTTGAATTACTGGTAATAGGAAAACTTTAAACTGTATACGCTGTACAACTGCACAAAACGGTATTCCTTTTTATAAAAATATTTTATGACCAGCCGTATTGTTTTATTGTGCACGTGAATTCGCAATAAATTATTAAACATTTAAAATGTAAATTATGCGCGTAAAATAACGTTGGGAATTTTCAAAACCGCCACCCACCCATTCATTATATGCAAAAATAACGGAGAATTATTTTTTTTTATTTCTATAAAATAGAGATTATACGCACTGCAATTTTTTCCCACCTGCATTTTATCCGCAAATTTAAATTTACACTTAATAATTTAAATAAATTATAATTCAAATGTCATAGTTGTCAAATCAATAGCGCTGATTTGACAATAATGACAATTGACGTACATATCTATCATTAATTAGCATAGAACACAAATGTGTACATTACTTAGATATGAAGCATACGAGGGTTGTTCTAAAAGTTCATGAAACAAAAAATTTATAAAAATTATCTGAAAATTTGAAATTCCTCCGTTCGTGATGTTTTTTATAGTACCCAAAGATTCTCCCCGGACTCTACAAATAAAATCACGGCTGCAAAGATGGAATCGAACGGCATAAATTTCGACTTTAACGTTCTTCTTTCCAATTTCCTGTACTCACGCCGAAGGACACGGATCCAAATTGAAAACGACCTTCGTATATACGAGATTTAAAATAAATAGCCCATATAGATGCTACCCGCTACACCGGCCCAATCTAATAAAGATTTAACTCGGTCCTGGATCATTTGTCGTTACCACAGGACCGGCCTTTCTCATTTTCCCAAAGCGAATTAACGAGATAATTGAACAAGTAACGGTTATGTTCCAACAGCTCTACAATAACTGTTAGTTATCATCTCTACAACTAAAAATTTTGTGAAATCGACAGGTGACAGGTATTTGGTGTATATTTAACCTATTCGAAATCGAGCGTATTGTCTACTCGACCTAATTTCGTGTCTAGCAAATTGAAATTACCCTTTTTTTTGTCATTTCACCCTTTTTTACGAGCCCCAAAAAACTCAACCGGTTCCTCATCGAGCGCCCCCAATGAAATTCCCCAATTAAACCCCACCCGGGGGGGCCCCGCCATCCGCCTCTGGAGGCGAGGGTGCAGTCTCAGAGAAACGAAAAAAAAAGAAGAAAAAAAGAAGAAAACGAATACCGAAGTGGTCCCCGAGGCCGGAGCAAAATGTAATTGCGTTTTGTGGACCAACGCATCGCGACGCTCTCGACCTACCGAGATGATGAGATGGGGGCGCATTCTGAACGTTCTCGAATACTGATGGCATTCTTGCTTGGAACTATTAAATGTCCTATTACGATGGTTGCTTAAAAGGGAGTTTTAAATTTAGTCATCGTCGAGGTGGTTTTGTGTATAAACTATCGGGAACGTTCGCGTCTTATTCGGTTTATTCGTTAATTAAATGTCGTTGAATGTAAATATTGTCTTGGAAATTATAACTAGCATTTATTAACCCCGATAAAAAGATGTGAAATATACGGTAAAAGTCACGTACGGATGTCTACATTGCATTGCAAATATTCTTATAATGTGGGCGCAGTTTTAAAATACATAAACATCTTTTAGTTTGTATTCATTTCATATTTACATTGCCTCAAATATTCACAACTTTCTAATGTGATAAACGATTTTAATTGGTGTATTGAAGTGTAAAAAAAGCACTCTTATAATTGCATTTAAAAGTGCAATAAATTTAATACATATAAGCAAACATTTGCCCAAATATTCACTATATGGAGTTTCTTTCGTATAAAGAAAAATCAGCATGAACAATTTTCGCGTTGTCTTAATGAGAAACATGAAAGTTACGAAATTAAATCCATGTGGGAGCTGAAATAGGTGTTACATTCGATGAATATGTAACAGATGGTATAAATAGATAATTAATAACGAGCGTATTAATATTTATTGTTATTTTTAACATGAAGTTGCAATTTGCAATTAAAAAATGCTAATTCAGGAAAGTTGTTTTCATACAACGAAGAGATAAACACGTTGCAATGATACAATAAATAAATATTAACCATCCCGCTACTATAACTTATTCAATCATTATTTATCGGTATAAGAATAATTTAACGTTTTTTTAAATGAATATCGAGTGTCCCGCTTCATGCACTTGTTCGAATGAAAACAAATATAACATAAACTTACTTACCGATTAGAAGACAAATCTGGATTGAAATGATGCACCACTTTTTCGCACACTACACACGTATACACACCATTATTGTTTATATTTTTAACAAAAGTTATTAGAAAAACTTTGAATAAATCAAAAAAATGCATATACAAGCACAAATCTTACCGGAAACCGGAAACCGGAAACGTTGAGATGACACCTGTCACTTGTCGTTTTTCAAAAGAAGTTAAATTCGTAATTTTGGTCGCAACGTTGCCGTATTTACGTAGATGTTTACTTAAAATTTTATATACTTAAAAATTTAAGGAATAATTTTGTTAAAAACATATTGTTTTAGTATATCGTTTGCTCCAAAGAAAGATTAATAAAATAACAGTTGTTAAAGTGAAAAGTTGCAATGACATAAATGTCATTCTTTCCTTTTCTCTTGTAATTGTCTAATGGAAGTTGTCTTTATCGCACCCATGGCCTATATAACCTATGTTGCCATCAAAAATGGAGCAACTTGTATAATATAAAATTCTACTTATAGGCTACATCAAATTTCATTTTTGTAAAGGAATTTTTTCAAATAATTATTACGGACAATTACAAGTATTACAACCGACAACGTCGCAACCTGCAATAAATATAGAGTCAAGAGTGTGTGTTTGGGTGAAAACATAAATCTAATGATTTACCATAAAAAATGTAAACAATTTGCTCTCTTAGTTTATAATTGTCTTTGGAAATTATCGACAAATGTTTCTCCAAATTCGCCGTGTACTTGTTCAGTTTACAAATTATAAGTTTTGTTACCTACACTCACTAGACAGTTCTCCAAACTCCAAACACAATGTTAGAGTTAAAGAAACATCCTGTACATGGACTGGACTTGTTAATTGCAAGGTACTATTATACATTTTTTTCTCTGTCGCTATTTCTCGATTAGATATTCCGCTTGGTAGGGCAACAGGAACTCATTATCGCCGTTTTATTTCTCATATTTCGTCGTCGTTCTTTATCTTTCGAATCCGACTCGATGCTCGAATAACGACGGGAAAAAACTTCTTCATTTCGAAGTGTATCAGAAAAGTTGTCGCACGTCGAATTTGAGAAGCGATCCCTGACAGGTGGATGAGTCGCCGTAAATTTAACGAAGGCAAAAATGGGGTTCTGGCGTATTTTTTTTTAAATCGATCCATTATTTATATACCTACGGTCGGTTTGAAATTCGTTATTGGATGCCTAAATTCGGCGTAATGTAATGAGGTTTGTGCTGGTAGATTACAATTGTAAAAGAAGTGACAATCCCACTTCTGATTTTTTTTTTTCGAAAAAAAAAACCGCCTTCAGTTAATTGGAATACGAAAAAGTAGGTACTGTGATATTATCATGTAACGATTCCACGAAGTTTTCCTTCTACCGGAACGTTTTATCGGAAACTGGGCGAAAAATCGATACAAAGTGGTTGCCGGGAATGTTCCTGTAGGGATTTAATATGTGGCGACACTAAATTATTGAGGACCCCTTTATGGCTCAACTTTTCCCTTTTCAAAAACGCTCTGTTATTATATTCATACCGCCAACGGATATTAGCCTCTTTTATCTTTATTTTTATTAAAAAAAAATCGACCAGAGGATTTATCACAACGACCATTCGAAACATTTTCAAATTACACACACGCAAACCTAACTAAACATTTCCCATTGCATGAATTAACATACCGTTCAACCAAAACAAATCTCCCTCTAAACCGATCGATTCCCATTCCAGATCTCAGCACTACGACAATCTTCAGCAAGCAGACAGCCAAAAGCAACCGCTAAAAGACACCACCAACACCCCGAACAAATTGAAGCTCGAAGACAACAACAATCAAGAACCCGAATCGACCCAACAAGACAACGAACCGACGAACAACGGCAACAACAACAACAACAACGACAACAACCAGCACCAGCAGCAGGCCAGCAGATCGCTCCAGTGCCTGGAAACGCTCGCCCAAAAAGCAGGAATCCACGATATCACGCCCGACGATTGCAAATACGATGTGGCCAATACGCTCTTAAATTTGGACAGAGGACACGAGTTTATCAAGCAGAACGTCGACAGTACAGGTGAGTCAAATTCCTGCTCTATACAAGCCTAAAGTTATTTGTTAATGACCTGTGATAGCTCAACTATTATAACATGTCAGTACAATAATTCTAAATTGCATCTTATAGGTCACCTCACGATAACCATGAGCGACATCAACAAGCAACAAATGGACGCTAACGCTCAAGCTCAAGCGCAAGCTCAAGCTCAAGCGCAAGCTCAAGCACAGGCGCAAGCCCAAGCCCAAGCTCAAGCACAGGCTCAAGTGCAGGCACAAGCGCAAGCCCAAGCCCAAGCGCAGGCCGTCCAACAGCAACAGATGCAACAGGTAGCTTTGCAGCAACAGGAGCAACAGCAACAGCAGCAACAACAACAACAACAACAGCAGCAAGCTTTAGTTCCGGCCCAAAGCCCTCATCTCCAACAAGTCACCGTCGGATCTTCGGGTACTTAAAAACCATCACCGATTGCATTTAACACAGTAATTATAATTTGCTGTATTTTTTTTAGGAGGTCAATGTACAGTTACATCGATGGGCCCGCCGCAGCACACGGTCTCGATGCACCAGCAAGTCGCCCAACAGAACCAAGTCCTTCAAACGCAAGGCGCCCAAGTGCTGGCGGCCGCCCAGCAAAGCGGCAGCACCACCATCACCACGATGTCGCCTTTGCAACAAAGCCAGGCGGCGCACCAGCAACAGATCAGCGCCGATTGGAGCCACGGCAGGGCCGTCCAGGTCATCCAGCAACCCATCCAGAACCCCACCTACCTTCAGCAGCTCTACAACGGCCAGGGACAGCTGTTGATGCCCGGCAACATCGGCAACATCGCCCTGCATCCGAGCATCAATCCGCAGATCCAGGTGATAGCGAAGCCCTTCCAGGGCAACCAGCTGGCGCCTCATATGATAGCGCAGGGCAAGCAGGTGATCCAGGGCGGGCAGCAGGCGACGTTTCCCGGTTACACGACGCTGCCGACGATTCCCACTACGCAGAACCAGCAGACGTTGGTGTTTAGTCAGTTGGGCGTCATCAGTTCGCAGCCCAACATATTGCCCAATCATTCGCAGGGGAACGGGCAGGTGGCGCAGCAGAAACAGCAGGATATGCACAAGGTGAGCCCGTCGCTTTCGACTGAGTGTATGTGCTTTGTTGGGATTTCTTTTTTAAATGTTTGTTTAACTAATATCTGGTTCGGCCGGTCATTTTTTATATCGAGCGAAAGCTAATCGGTTAAAGAATTTTAACCTATTGTGTTTGTGATGTAATAACAAATGTTGAGGTTGATAAATATAGGTGAAGTTAGTGGGGTAATAGGTGTAGGGACTATATTTTTTTGTAAGAAATAGAAAGGAATTGGTGTTTCATTAAAAGTGGAGTTGTGTGGGGGGTTTTAATAAAAATAAATAGTACGATTGCTCATTAATCAATCAGCGTCAATCGAAACACCTCGAATTATGTAATAATATCGAGTAGATAATCTAATCCAACAAAGCAAATGCGCTTAGTACTATTCGTCTTTGAAAGAAACTTAAATGGCGGTAACCGAAATAGAATTGAACACATTTCTAAATGAAACCGAAAACCGGCAAATTCGACGTCGAAATGACCTTTCCGATTTCTGTAGGTAATGGGAGCTCAAAAAGTGCAAATGCAAAAAGTGGCTAGTAGTACTGGCGCAGTTGCTCAAACACAACAGCCGGGACAATGCGTTCAAGTTTCTCAGGCCATGATCGGCTCACAGCCGACGGCTCAAATTATCAGTCCGATCCAAGTAAGACATTTTATCAAAGATCAGCAACACCCGTAGTAGAATTTGTTTTGATCGTAGTTAGAGCATTTTTTTGCTATGTAATTTATACAACAACGTAATAGCGCTAAATAACTTGCAATGGGCGATTTATTCAAACTAATATTTAGAGCGAATTTAAACGGATAGATTTGTTATATCGATTGTGATATTTTTTAGCCTGGTGGTCAGCCCATGCAGTTCGCCCCATGGCAATTCGCAGCGAACGGTCTCCAACAGGTCTGGACCACCACCAATGGTCTTCAATCGCAAGCCCTGCAACTCGCCCCCAATCAGATTTTCATCAGGGGTACTCAAGCTGACGGTACGCCCGGCATGTTCATCCAACAGAATCCCCAAACTGCTACTATCCAAACCCAGCAAAACCGTAAGAAATATACCAAAAATGCTCATCGAGAATCGACTAATCTTAGCTTAAAATGGTTTTAGAAACTATTGCTACACCTGGAACCGTCCAACAGATGGCCAAACCTCGACCTGCTAATGAAAATATCCAGCCGAAGCAGCAAGCGAATAGGCCTTTGAATATTCTTCCTTCGAATACCGGTAACTTGAGACCAGCCAGTTCGGCTGTTTCGACTCAAACGATCGGCGCTCAAACACCTGTAAGTACCACACAAAACAATGTATTAGTAGTGGAATTTTTACTATACATTTTCTACTTTGCTATTAATGCACTGTCGAAACTCGAAATTCCTATAGAAAACACACGAGAGATCTCTGTGAGATGTTGAGCAGTTCCTAAACAATCTCTTCGTTCCCCTCTCGACAATACTACCTATTTAATGCATACATTAACCAGTAAATTGTGTAAAAGTTAGTCGTTTAATTCGGTTGTTTTTTAGGCTTCGATGGGTGGTAAACCTGTAGCGAAAATTCGCACGAAAGCCCCACAAATCCGAACATCACCGGCTCCCAAAGCCGACGCCGCAAATCAAACCCAAATCAAACCCTACCCAAACATATCTCAACAGCAACACATGAACAAGTAAGTGCGATTTTCCCGCCATGCAACTCGCTCTAATATACATCCTCTGTTCTACTATTAGAATGCTCGTGCTGAATCCCAACGGTATAGCCACCTCCGTGACGCCGGGCTCCCCCATGACCGCCGAGAAGGCCCAACAGCTGGCCAATCAGAACAAGGCGCAGCAAAACGCCCAACAGAACGCCCAGCAGGCCCAGCAGGCGGCCGTCATGCAGCAGCAGATCCAACAACAGCAGGCCGCCATACAGCAGTACCAGCTGCAGCAGCAGCAGAACCAGGCGCAATCGCAGCAGGGCCAGCAGGCGCAGCACATACAGCCCAAACCCATGATGAGTGAGTACTGAATCTGTTTGGTTTTAGTCCGTTAATGTCGAAGGTGTTCTAAGAGCAGCAGTTAGAAAGGCACTAGAGAATCGATATCATTAAATTATCCAATAGTAGATTGTTCTCATGGAGATTCTTTACTAGTAATTTGTCCACAAGTAGTAGATTCCTCTTCTGGAGTTTCTTTACTAGTAAATTCTTCAACAGTAGATTATTCTGCTGTCGATTCTTTACTAGTAAATTCTTCAACAGTAGATTCCTCTTCTGGAGTTTCTTTACTAATAAATTGTCCACAAGTAGTAGATTCTTCTCCTGGAGATTCTTTACTAGTAAATTCTTCAACAGTAGATTCCTCTACTGGAGTTTCTTTACTAATAAATTGTCCACAAGTAGTAGATTCTTCTCCTGGAGATTCTTTACTAGTAAATTCTTCAAAAGTAGATTCCTCTTCTGGAGTTTCTTTACTAATAAATTGTCCACAAGTAGTAGATTCTTCTCCTGGAGATTCTTTATTAGTAAATTGTCTGCAAGTAGTAGATTCTTCTTCTGGAGATTCTTTACTAGTAAATTCTTCAACAGTAGATTCTTCTGCTGTCGATTCTTTACTAGTAAATTCTTCAACAGTAGATTCCTCTTCTGGAGTTTCTTTACTAATAAATTGTCCACAAGTAGTAGATTCTTCTTCTGGAGATTCTTTACTAGTAAATTCTTCTACTGGAGTTTCTTTACTAGTAAATTCTTCGTCAGTAGATTCTTTACTAGTAATCCACCAGTAGATTCTCTTCTTGAAAATTCTTCAATAGTAGATTGTTCAACAGTAAATGGATTGTTGTCCAACTACATATTCCTCAAGAATAGGTAAATTAGTAACGATGATACCACTAAGAATTCTCATTGCTGCTCTAAGATATTAAATACACCTACCACATTCGATGTGGAGGTTCTTTGGACTTGTTTCATCGAAATAAAACGTGTTAATTTGTTGGATTAGTTCAAACGATACCGACCATTCCCGGACAACAAATGGCGATGGCAGGAGATAGACCGATCATGCCGGTGGTGTCGATGTCTGCGCAGGCGAACGCCCAGCAGGTGCAGCAACTCCAACAGCAGAATCTCGGCGCTTTGCAGCAGGGGATGCAATTGCAATCGAATCTCGCCGTCACTCAGCAACCCATGCAGATGAACATGCAGCAATTGCAGCAAGTAAGGCGTTTCTCTATACTTCTTTATACCTCGATAATAATCGGTGAAATAGAGCAATAATTTCTCCAGAACTCTCGGAACAATAATTTATCTTTAGGACGAATGTTATGCGCTTCTTATCATGTATTAAATAACAAGGTTGGAAAATATAATGGTGAGATTAAAGCCGGCGTTCAATGCACATGACTAACCGCACGAATGCAACGTATAAACCTAAATAAACTTGTTTACTACGTATAAAGTGTGTTAACAGGAAGTTTTCAACAGGTACACGCTTGTTTTTAATCGACCGATTTGCGAAAATAATGCGTTAGTTTGAAAAATTCGTTGCCTATATTTGATTAATTTCGAATTGGTGTTTGCTGGAGCGGGATTTTTTTTCGAGTTTCAGTAAGTTGTTTGTTGTTGTTGAAAAAAGTGATAAAGGTTTCGCTCCAAATTTACTTTGTTCGATTTATAAAGGAATTTTAGTGGCTTCCACAAATATCTTTACACTGTTGCTACTTCCTTTTAGCCTTTTTGCCCATCCAAGCTCTCAATAAAAGCGTACTAAAATATACAATTCTTCCAAAAATTCTCAGCAATTTCCTACTACTAATATACTAACAATTTCATCTGTACCTTAAGTTGCAGCAAATGGCCCCGCCGGGTACCATAATAGGACAAATTCAAACGACCGGAACCCAACCGTCGGCCATTTCTCAAGTGACCGGCGCCGCCCACATACAACACATCCAAGCGAGCGGGCCCCATCACATAGCCATCGCGCAGGCGCAGGCCCAGCAAGTACCGTTACCGCCCTCCGTACCGGCCGTTCCGAAGGATTTGAACGAGTCGAGCGGTACCGATGCGACGGTACCCAACGGTGGTATGAGTCTCGACGGCAATAAGGACGGTTCCACCGGTGAGTTTTTTGTTCCTAAGAGTACCTAGTTCAATGCTAGGTGAAGAAAGCTGTAGAGATCCTTAGTCAATTTTTTGCATAAAAAAATCTTTTAAGGACCTTCCTATTCCAATGGGGTTTCTTTCCCTATATGACCCAGGCATATATTCAGTTGATTCTGGATATACCTTGATGGATTCTTTTAGTACCACCAGGTATTCCTCCACTATTTTCCTAAGAGAATAAATTACTTGGTTCAATACTAAGTATCTTTATGAGAAAGCTGTAGAGGTCCTAAGTCAATTTTTTGCATAAAAAATCTATTAAGGACCTTCCTATTCCAATGGGTTTTCATTCCCTATATGACCCAAATTATACTCGGTTGATTCTGGATATACTCCAAGTCCCTTGATGGGCTCTTTTAGTACCATCCAGGTACCTTATTCCTCTACTATTCTCGATTTCGGGATGCTTCCACAAATCTACCGATTCCTCATTTTACTAATCCAAGGATTAAAAAGCTCATCAAGTTTCCTCTTCTATATACTAGTACTGCTGAAGCGTCAGCAAATTTCGATGGAAATAAAGCGTATTATATGTATTGGGACATCCTGTATGTTCTTTCTTAAATCTCTATCGCATTGCGAAGACTCCTACTAGATGGGACAATTTCAATCGTTTTGGAGTAGTTGGCGAATCTGTCAGTAAAATTGCAAATTAACATTGTCGTCGAGATTTAGCGGTTTGGTTCTTTTTGGTTTCAATTTTATTCGATAATTTTTAATATAGAGTTGAAATTACGTTATATACGATAAGAAAACCCATATTAAATCACCGTTGAAACATTAGCGAGAAGAAAAATGAAGATTATTTTAATGCTGCGTCCCACAGGTTTGATAATTTTTTACCAATCAGATTTAACACCTTTTTTTTTCGATTATTCCTCCATAAATTAGCGTATTTATCAGTTGTATTAGAAACGTTTTTACTCGCATTATGACACCAGTAACTCGTGTACTTATTTTTTGAAGTTTCAACAACATAACCCACAAAATTTTCAACTAACCAACGTTGCCAAACTACCTTAATATACCAAAAAAAACCTTCCACAAACACACACCTACCGAATCGATTTCAAACCGCCAAACTAACGGCCTTTTACCATTCCCCTTTCCAGCCACCTCGACGCAATCGGAGCCGAAGGAAGGCCCGCCGACGGGCGAAGCCAAACCCATCCAGAACGGCGTGGAGGCGTCGATGGGGGGCCAGCCGGCGCCGATGCCGGGCACCGTCCCGTCCGCCCAGCCGAGCACCAACGCGTCGGACGGCATCCTGCCGGTCGCCGTGACCGCCGAAGAGGTGAAGGAGCGCTGTCCGCCCAAGGCGATGGTCAAGCCGCAGGTGTTGACCCACGTCATCGAGGATTTCGTCATACAGGAGTCGTCGGAGCCGTTTCCGGTGCACCGGACCGGTCTGGACGATTTGAAACCGACGCAATCGTCGATCGATAAGGACCAGGACGAGCCGCCCAGTGAGTTGTTGTCTTTGGTTTTTTTTTTTTTGTCGTAATGTTGATGGTAGTAGGTCGAATGGTTGATTGTTTTTTGGTGTTTAATGGGGAATCGGAGTCTTGGGAGAGGTTCTTTTCTTGGGGATTTAGTTAATTAGCTCAGTAGTTTGGACTAATTCAAATTAGTATTGGTCGAAGGGCCTCAAAGAGGCGTCCTTTGTGGAATAAACGGAGTCTTCTTTTGGAGATGAAAGATAGATTTGTGGATTAAAAAGTGTTTTACTTTGTGGAATGAAAAGAGGCTTCCTTTGTGGAATGAAAAGAGGCTTCCTTTGGCGAATGAAAGGAGGCTTCTTTGGGAAATGAAAGAGGGCTTCCTTGGGAATTAAAAAGTGTCTTACTTTGGGAAATGAATGATGAGGGTCGCTTGAGACTTGAAACTGATTGATGAGGCTTGCCTGAGATAATGTTAGTCTAAAAAGAATGGAACGGTATTAAACTGAAAAACTATACTCAAAAAAAATCAATTAGTACTTGAATTGTACTCATCCTTCAATTACAAGAACCTCTTCTCTAGCCTCTCATAAAAAAGAGCGAAAATGCACGAAATAAAGACCGTTATTTAAGGAATTCCACAAAACGCGGCGTAGAATTTGTACATTTCATATTCGTGTACACGTGTCACGAAGTCACGAGGCGCGGAAATCAATTAAATATTAAAAGCGCTCCGCTTTTCCCCGCTTTTCCGACCTTCCCGACTATCGATTTCGCTTTAGTTTTTAATCGCCTTACATGATCGTTTGGGGTGCTCTTTTTCCAGGAAAGAAACGCGCCTCGTCGCCGGTGAGCACGAGCCTCAAAAGCGACATGGCCAAATGCGAAGCCTGCGGAATGGTCGATCTCAAGGCGAAGTTCAAGAAGAACAAGCGATTCTGTTCGGTGCAGTGCTCGAAAAGGTAACGAAATGGGTTTGTTGCTGGTTGCGGTTAATTAACGGCTGTGTTATTTTACAGCGGAAAGCACAAAGACGACAAGAAAAAATGGGATAAAGATGGCATGGAGGTCGATTCGGAGTCTGGAGCTTCGGGTGCTGAAAACAGCCTCGGTCCCAACGTTGCCGATGATGATGCCGCTAAAATGGATCCAATTAAATGGAGTGTAAGTGTAGAACTTTGTATTCTTTTGCGAACGATCTGACGATTGGAATTTGTGTGGTTTTTTTCAGGTGCAAGAAGTGTTCGATTTTATCAAAAAACTGCCGGGTTGCTCGGAGTACGCGGAGGACTTTTTGCGCGAGGAGATCGACGGGCAGGCGTTGATGTTGTTGAAAGAGGATCATTTGATGACGGCGATGGCGATGAAATTGGGACCGGCGTTGAAGTTGGTGGCGAAAATCGACGAGATTCGAATCGACAAGGAGCCGCCCAAGCAAACGTAGAGTTTAGAGTACGATTTTTTAGTTTAATTTTTTTTTTTTTTTCTCGTCGAACAAGTTGTCGTTTTTCGCGGTCGAAGATGGAGCGTTTTCTTTGGTAGATTTGGTTTCGCGTTTTTTGAGGAAAACTATAAATATTGTAAATATTTTTTTTCTGTGGTAAAGAAATTGAAAGGTTAAAACATTGTTTCATCCGCGAAAAACGTTTATTTTTGTAAGTAGGTTTATTTTATTTATTCGATTTAAAGACTGCTGCTAAGAATCTAAAAATATTTGATAAGTACCGGTGGTAATTGTTTTAAACAAAAAATCGTAAGGTTGACAGGAATGTTTCAGTTACTGAAGGGCAATCATTTACTTTTGAATGCTAATTTTGGGTAAAAAATTCTCACTTAATTATCTCTATAATTAAACAATCGGAATTTTATACGAAATGTTGTGTTAAGTAAATAATTCCTCGTTGCATTCGCTGATATGATATGTAACTTAGTACATAATCTAGAATTCGATTATATTTGTGTGATCTCACTATACTGTTTCTTATTCTTGCATATTGGCCACTTTTTTATACACTTAAATTCATAGTCAAAATCGACAATGGACAGCCAATGAATTATGTTAATACAATGTAAATATTTGTAAATGATGTATGTTAAAGCGGTTACTTATTATTTTTTTGTTTAGTTTGTACAGAGAGAAACGTAAGTTTTATATTAGCGAATATATTTGATTTGATCAAAGTATTTCAACAAAGTGAAAAAATGGCGAAAAGAAGTACATCGGACGCTTTTATACAAAATTGGAACGTATTTATTTGTGCAATGTTCTATTTTCCAAAATGTATAAGTTTATAATGTAGGTTAAGTTAATATTTGTTACTATACTGCCACTAATGATAATAAATTTGTAATTTGTACCATTCAAACGTATTTATTTAATTCCTCCTTTTAAACAGTTTCTTGATTGTTAAATTTAAAAATTTCTTAGTCTTCTGAGCGTTAATAGAAAACATTTCTAGGAATTGCTAAGTAAATTTCAATTAAAATTTTATTAGAAATACAGAAAATTATACAAAACAAAAAATAATCTTTACCAGCTAATTGTTTGCCGTTTACTCGTAGTATCTTCCCTTTCCATTTCGTATTCAATCTCGACCCTGGGTTTGCCTCCTTTTTTGGCCGATCCGAATTTGTCATCTTTCTTTGATTTCTTCGAAGAACTAGGCGCTATCTCTTCTATGTCGGATTCGTCTGATGTTTCGAAACTGCTATCCAAGTCAACTTCCTCTAGATTTCCACTATCACTTTCATCGTCCGATTCGCCCACAACAAACTCAGGTCCATCGGTTTCCATCTCCAGTTCCCGTTCGACTTCCTCCTCGGATTCCAGTTCTTTCTCTTGCTCGGCGTCGTCGAAGGTCTGAGGAGAAATGTTGTACAAATCTTTGTAGACGCCTTGTTTGAGTCTGTCTAGCAGGGTCTTCTCGACGCCCTTTTCTATTCTCGCCGCTACGAGTGCCTTTTCTTCCCTTCTTCGCTCCCTTCTCTCTATCTTGTTCTGTATGGGGACGATGAGTTTCTGCCGCCTCAGCTTCAATTTCCTCATTCGTATTAGATATTGGGTGATTTTCACGAACCTCTGCTTGCATTTCGATTTTATGAAGCCGGACCAATAGAGCAGGTTTTCGTTGATTTGGTGTATGGCTTTCTCGAAGTTCCTGGACAGTTTTATCTTCTCCCACGTTTTCCTGGGGAACGCAGACCGTTCTGCGGTTTTCATGAACAAGTATATTATCCCATTTTCCTCACGTACTGTCGCGTATTGACTGTTCGCCAACGGGCAGGAGGATCTGTTGCAGAGACCAGTTAAGTTGTATTCGTTTCTACAGAACTTTTGGCCTTTTACTTGAGACTTGTAAGAGCAGAACGACTTGTTGATTATGCTCCAAGTTACGTCGTCGTCTTGCATTTTGAATTAAATTCAACTAAAATAAAATGAACATTCAACAAGCACTGCTTTTCACGTTGTTTTTTGAACCTAACCTTAAATAATTAATGATTCTTCTTGTCACTTGTCACATAAAATGAAGGTCTGCGTTGTGATGATTATCCAGCGACATACATTTAAAATAAGAGTAGGCAACCCATATTACATAAAAATTATTTGGCATTTCAATGCTTTACTTCAGTAAAAATCTGTATAAGCGAGATTTGTGTCTGCATTTTGAATATTCTTCAAAACGAAATTCCCAACATTGGTAGAAGCCTTTGTACATTTTTAAAGAAAATTGTTAAAAGCAAAGAAATTTTATTCATGAACAAAACGAACAACAAATTAAAAACAAAACAAATTAAATTCAGGTAAGTATAAAAATAAACATTTCAAACTGCAACAGAACATTTTAATTACCGCCAGAACTGGCCGAGTCAACCGTGCTTTCCGGTTCGTCGCATTTACTCTTCGTCAATTTCTTGGGGGCTTCGGGGGTTTTGACGCCCTTAGGAGATTCCTTACTTTTTGGTTTTTTGTCGGTTGTTTTCGAGTTAACAGCCGAGGGCGAAGTCTTCGTAGGTAAAGGTTTGGTTTCCTTCTTCGATGTCACCTTTCCAGAGTCAGTCGAAAGGGTTAATTTTCGTGTTTTAGAAACATCTTTTGCAACAGCTTGAGGTTTTTTCTCGTCTTTTACCGATGCTTTTGGAGATTCTTTACTCGCGACGGTTTTTTTAACATTTTTTTGCTCAGACGCTTTGGTTTGTTTGGTCGTTAATACCGGTGCATTTTTAGCAGGTTTCTGAGTACTTTTTTGTTCTTTAGAAGAACTTTTTACACTAGATATCTTTTCAGATTCTTCTGAAATCGTCTCAGATAATTTTATTGCATCTTCTAGTACGTCAATGTTATCCTCATTTGGTTCTTTAACTGGTTGTGGATTCTCTTCAGTGGAATCTTCTGGGTTCGCTTCCTTGACAATTTCTTCCTGATTTATCGACTGTTCTTTGTCTGCTTCATTTTCAATTTCTTCAGATTCTTCGATTACTGTAGATTCATCTTTATTCGTATCGAGATTTTGATTTTCTACTAAATCAGCAAAGCACGTTTCTCCAGATTGATCTTTCATTGAAATACCTTCTTCTATTTCTACTGTACTTTTATCTTCAGTAACTTCGGATACATCAGGATTTTCAACTGGATTATCGTCTAAATTTTGTTGAACTTGTTCTAACAAAGGTTCTAAAATATCGTGTACGACAATAGGTATTGAATATTTCTCATCTTCTATTAAAATAACTTCACTTGAGTCAATGTCAGTCTTTTCTTCGGTAGTGTTAATTTCAGTAACAGGTTTCGACTCTAAACCATCAATCGAAGCATTTACTACGTTTTCTTCATCAGAAGGTTCTTTACAAACAGGAACAAGAGATATTTCTTCGCATTCCGAGTCAATAATCTCTTTGGTAACTGTTAGGTGATCCTGTTCTTTCGTTTTGTCTTCATCTGCGCTTTTATCTTCAATATTTTCTACAGTACTTTGTTCTTCAGATTGACTCGGCATTTCGGCATTTATTTCAGCGCGTTCTGCTTCGATTATTTCCTCCTTCTGAGTAGGGCGAGTTTGCTCGATCGTTTTTATTGCATCTTCAATATCATTAGCACTTTCAAGATTCGTCTGATCATCGTCAATTGAAGTAATTTGAGCCTCTTCTGTTTCATTTAATAATTCAGCGACTCCTTCAGTTTGTTTTTCATCAGAAATCTGTCTTTGTTCTTCAGCTTGACAAGGTATTTCGGTATTTATTTTGGTCATTTCAGCGCATTCTACTTCGATTATTTCTTCATTCAAAGTAAGGTGAGTTTGCTCGATCGTTTTTGCAGCATCTTCAAAAGCATTAGCACTTTGAAGATTCGTCTGATCATCGTCAATTGAAGTAATTTGAGATTCTTCTGCTTCATTTACCAATTCAGTGATTCCTTCGGTTTGTTTTTTATCAGTATTCTCTATTGATTCAACAGCAGGCTGAATCTCGGAATCAGTAAATTCCTCTCTCGATTCTTCATTGGTAGTGGAACATATTTCATTAGTTTGGACAATTTCTGATGACTCTAAAACTTTCTCTGATGCGATGTCATTAGAGTGGATTTCAATTGGGACATCGTTTAATGGGGTTGAGGGTTTTTTAAACGATCCTAACAGAAGTCTAATGTCTTTGCCATTTAGGTACAACCTGACGGATTTTTCGTCGACAAATTCTACTTGAAATTTGGTGGAACCTGTAAATAGAAACTCACATTTTAATGTAAATTATGAATGGAGTGTTAAGAAACTAGTAAGCAACGAATAATTAAGGATTAAATTTAATTAAACATGCCATTTTTGGTTTATTTTTAAAGGGGGTGTTAGAGACAAAATTTTATGTTGAAGTTGTCAGGACATTTTAGTATTATTTAGTACGTAAAATAGGAAAGCAGAAAAGTTATAAGATTATTAAATCAATCTGTTAATGAGTATTATTATTATTATATTAATGTAGTAGGTAAATAGTGTAAGAAAAATTGTTTGAAAAATATCAGACAGTACTAATTTTTGTACAAATATATTTTCTGTAGTATTTTTTTGGTATTAGTTCCTAAATCCTCAGAAAACACAAACCAATTTAATAAATTTGAACCATTCAACTGTACTTACTATTATTTAATAATGGAAAAGTTTTTTATTCATTTCTACTATTATCACATGATTTCATTGTTGATGATTTTCTTTATAAATTCCTTAAATTAGAGAAAAATCATTTTTGCTTTCCCTTTTGCTTTTGAGCTACAAGATTTTAGTTTCTTATAATTAAAACAAAAACAACATCTTTAGTTTTATATGCTATAAAAAATGAAAAACGATTCAAATGTTATATCATTTTCGGGCGTATTACCCTAGTAGTAATAGTAGGTGATTTTATTCCATTTCTACAATATAACAAAATACAAATACAGGCACATTAAAATAATAATTAATTCAACATATCGGTAAGTTTTATTATATTTTTTATATTTATATAAACGTTACAAAAAGAAACCACAATAAAATGGAATTAAATCAATTACAACAATAACATAAACATACCCAATAAAAAAGGCACAGTAGAAGATTCTAACAAAACAAATAAAGTTCGATTGTTCCAATTAAAATAAGAACAGAATGGGTAATGGTTTTCCATTCTCAATTCTCTCAACATATACAAATTTTAATCGTTAAAAAATACAAGTAGTTTCAACTATTTCTAGCGTGGAAAAATTTTTCTTTTATACAAGAAAACTTAATCAATCAATTCATGCAACATTTACAAAGCATACTTTTCGCTATCACTTAGAAAATACAGGGTGAACATTGTTTTCAACAAAAAATAGATTCCTATAATTTGCATTAAAGTTACATTACTCACCTTGTATACATATATTAAAACTATAATAATTCAACAAAGAAAAATTTCTACACCGTTTATAAATATCCAAACACAAAATTTATCGTAGACACGAAACTCAATGAAAAACCATACTTTTGTAGAAAATATTTTTAGAAAAATTTTAAACCTAAATACCTTGCTCGCTCAATTCCTCGAGTATTTCTTTCGCATTTCCTTCGAACGTTTGCCCGTCCAACGGCTCCAACGCGACATTTTCCACCGTTTCGCCGCTCTCCTTCCTTATACTCAAATTCCCCAACGTTTCCACACACTCGATCGTTCCCTCCTCAGTAACAGGCGCAAGCATATCGGCCACATCTCGCCCGTTCAACAACAACTGCACCACCGACGTTTCACCCGCGCTAATCTTCTTAACCGTAAATATCGTCACCCCGTCGGCGGATATCTCGGCGAATTTCTCCGCCGACCGCGAACACCACGCGGGAATCCCCTCGTTTCGCAAGAGGCTGCACTTCAACGCCAACGGAGCGGTCATCACCAGCTCCTCGGGTAGCTGTCTCAAGCTCGAACCGGTGCAGGAATTCCCGTAATCGATGAACAACAGTTCGATGCCCGCGACGGTGTTGGACAGAATTCGAGCCCGATACCACATCTGATCGTCGGGAAAGAGGGCTGCGCAAAGCGTACCGGGCAGGAGCTCTTCGAGTTCGGGGAACGTTTCGGCGTTGCTCAATTGCTCGGCTATCCACTCCAATTCGTCGACGCAATTCTCCAATTGGATCCAAAACTCCGACGGGGAATTCAGGTGGCTCACGAAGCCCGTCTACAAAACGATTTTTTTAGATATGTACGATGAATCGATTGAAAACTTACTTGTTTGGCTTCGACCGTTTTCGTGCTAGCTTTGGCCAAGTTCTCTTTGATAAAGGCGTCTTTGATGTTCACACCGTTGGAGTACAATTCGACGTAGGTGCACTTTTCGTCCTGTTCGATGAATTCGGCTCGGAGATTATCGCACAACGTGAGCTGTTCGAATAGTTTAAAAGCCACGCCGGTCCATTCGTCTTCGACGGGTTCGATTTTTAGGGCGCATCTCGTCGCGTAAATCGCCAGCGACAGGAACTACAAACGAATCGGAATGAATAAGCGTCGATATAACGACAAAATCTAATGCCTACTTTTGGAGACAACGTTTTAACTTTGGTCGTTTTGTTATCGATAACGTCGGTATTCCCGAAATCGACGAATCTAACGGTAGTGATGTCTTCATCGGCGTCTAACACTTCCGCTCGATACCATTGTTGATCGGCCGAGTAAGGAGCTGCGCAGAGAACGCCGGGCACGGGATTTTCCATTAATTCCATTTCGTTTACCCGTTCTTGCAATTCGGCTTGGAGTTGTTCTATAGCCGATATGCTATCGAAAAATTGCAAGTAAAAATCACTGGGGCTGTCGATGTGGCTCATAAAGACCTAATCGAGAACAAAAATCGTTTAGTTAAAGAATCGATTCGTGTTAGAAATATAATTACCAAATTGCCAATCTCCAGAGCCTGGGATATCTCGTTATGGCCATCAACGGGAGCTGTTGAAGGATTCTCTGCGGGAGTCGATTCGTTCAAAGTTTCTTTTTCTTGATCAACGGTAGAAGCCGATACTTCTGTATTGTCTGATACTTCAATATTGGCTGATTCGAGGGTACCAGAATTGCCTGCTTGTGGAATTAGCAGTGTCGAAGGCGAATCTGAAACTTGTACCGTACCTTCCCAGCTGGATTCTCCGTAATAGATATTAGCGGTAATATCTTTGTCTATGAAAGCTTCGCCGCCCGAAGGAACGGTAATCTAAAAAATTACAGATATTTAAACGTTTTAACCGAGCAACATAAGCGAACATATTACCGGTAAACAGAGAATAATGACGTCTAAAAACTTGGAAGTCAATTCTCGAAGCTCTCCGAAAGCTACATCCTCCGAATTCCCGTAATCTATATAATTTACTGTCGCTTTTTCGTCGTTGAAACTAACCACTTTACCTCGGTACCAATTACCGTCTTCACTGTGCACAGCGTACACGGTACCTTCAATTACAAATAAAAATTCAAAGCAATTTTGAAGATATTTCGCTAAATTATAGCTCACCTTCTTCGGGAATGATGGTATCGGCGCTTTCTTTTCCATCGTACTCTTCGAACAATTGATTCAAAAGCGTTGTAACCACATTAGAGTATTCGTGCGGTTGAACATAAACTATCGCATCTTCCGCATGTGGAACATATCCAGTTAAAACGGATCGAAGAACGAGCATGGGACAAGGAACGTCTACCATCTCGTAAGCTCCTTCGTCCGGATTGAGCACCACGTGTTTGTTACCTTCGGTATCGTACAAAGTTATTTCTAATCTGAAATATACAAACATAATTAGGATATACATACAAAAAAGGATGCTTCGCGATTCGCTTACTTATAGTCTACAACGTTATCGACGTATACAATCACAGTCTGTTCCACTAAGCTTTTGAGCTGCTCTTCGAATATCTCGGTGGCGAGTTCTAAATTGTGCATTGTACAACTCACGGCCAGGCCGCATTCCAGCGCTAGAATTAGATCGCTCAAATTGTTCACGCTCTTTACGATCGCTCGAAACTGTTGTCCCAACAATAGCGGAATTTCAATGTCGGGAACCGGCGAAACTATCGATACAGCCAATCCGTCGCGAATTAGTAATTGCCCGATATCTTCGGAATTGCTGAATATATTTACAAAAGTCCTAAAAACATACACATTAATTAACCGTGTACAAATCGTGCTGTTAATGGTTGACTCACTTTTGTTCATCTTTATTGACGAATTTACACACGAAATCGGTTTTGTCGAAATAATCGCCGTAGAGATCGGCATCGGCCCAAGCCCCGTTAGGCGGATCCACACCGTCGATTGCGCAGGGTATCGCCTGCGCGGGAACCTCCATGAATTTCTTTTCGATGGGAAACACTTTGGTAACGGTCGAAACGTTACCGAAATCGACGTAATAAACTTTGTATCGGGACCCGATCACGTCCAATATCTTGGCCCTGTACAGAACGTTGTCTTCGTCGAAAAGGGCCACGACCGGAGCGCCTTTCGCAACGGATTCGGGCCGTTTGCCTTTGTAGAAATCGCAGATGTCTTCCATGAGTGTTTTGAACGTTTCCTACGAATTAAAACGTCGTTAATAAGCATACGAACTATCGTTATTTATCATTACCTGCGAGCTGATTTGTTGAACGTAAAACAAACCGGGATTATGGAACCAACTAATAATAACCTTCCCTTCGCTACCGATAACATCGTAAGTGGCGAAATTAGCCGAAGCAGGTGCTGCATCGATTGCACTAGTCGTAACAGAACTGACGTTCCATGAATCTTCGCCGGTTGTATCGGCGTTCCATGAATCTCCTCCTCCGCCCCCGGTATGTTTATTATCTCTGTAGTTATTCCGGGGTTTGTCGAAATTTTGATTGGCGTATCCTCTGTCGTTGCGAGAACTGCTTCGAGGACCTTTGTGGTAATTCTTTTCCGAACCGTTGGAACTCGCTTCGGATCCGTCTCTAAACGAGGCCGGATTATTCGGAATTAGTTGATTAGTTCGAGGAATAACACACTTACTTTTTAAATTCACGTTTCTTGTAACCGCCGTCGCGGTCTCGCGGTTTCGATTCGTATCGGTTGTTCTGTCCTCTGTTATTTCTGTAATCGTCGCGTTTGTTGGGATTACCGGAAGAGGAGTTCCATTCGTTTCCGCCATCTTGAACGTTCCAGGTATCTTCGGATGCTTCGCTAGGTTGATTTAGGTTGTTGTCTACGGTTTTCTCGGTTGCGTTCCAGGTATCGTCGGATCTTCGAATTTTATCGAATCTGTTGTTCGGACTGAAATATGACGATTTTTATAAAAAATGTTTGTAATTTTTGAGAAATCTGTTCGAGTAAAATCGAATAAAACCAACCTAAATCCTTTGTTGTTTTGCCTCCAAGAATTATCGTCGCTTCTTTCGTTTGAGTTTTTATCGTAGTTTCTGTCAAGAAAAAAATGTAGAGTAAGTTTTTGCGCAAAGACATTATTAAAAAACTGTACCTTCTTCTATATTTCCCTTTATAAAAGCTTGTAAAAGATCACAAACTTTTTAAAATATATTTATAAAATACAAATTATCTAAACAACAAGTATGATTACTGATTAAGTAATTTAAAAGTAAAAACAGTTACCAATTTTAATGTTAAAGTGTTGATTATGCTGATAAACTAAATAATCTACCTGTTTTCTCTATTATCCTGTCTCCAAGGTTTCTCAGTTCTTTCATTTCGTTCGTTTCTGTCATATCTATCGTTTCTTTCGTATCTATCGTTTCGTTCGTTCCTTTCGTAAGGCTTGTCCCAGCTCTTTTGCTCACTGAAACATCAATTTGTTTAGTACAGCCCACGAAGTTTGTTTAAAATTTATTCTAGATAATTATGCGATTGACTCACCGTCCGGTGTTCGATTTTTGATCGCCTTTGTTATAATTTTGATAATCCTTTTGCTTAGGAAACGATTTTTTGTGTTCAATTTTATTGCCCGCCTGCACAGCCAAAACAGGACTAACCTTAAAAATCGCTCGATATTAAAACTAACGCCATAAAACCGTTTCAAATTTTACTTGAGATTTAGCAGCCGCCAGTTTATCCAACAACAAAGACGCCACGTTGTAATTGGAACTATCGAACAAATCCACCAAGGTTTTTTTATCAAACGTATCGACCACCTTCATCATAAAGACGCCTTCCAGCAACAATTCCTCGAGCAAAGCGTCACGTTCGTCGTCGGGCTCCATCTTTTGGTATCCGTTCAAACAACATTCGATGGCCTGCGGCCTCAGCACCGTTAATATTTCACCGTTAATCGACTTCAATTGGCCGAAGGACACAAAGTCTTCGTTTCCGTAATCGATGTACCTGACTTTAACGCCTTCGCTGTTAGCTTCTACAATTTCCGAACGATACCAAACACCATCTGCGGCGAAGAGAGCGCAACACGGAAGACCTTTTTTGATTGTACTCGGGTCCATGAAATCGTTCGTTACGCACATCTCTTGCAGTTCGTTCATCAACGATGCCAATTCGGATTCTTTGTTTACCAATTGAACGTAGAATCTAAAAGAAACGATGAGCACTTCAAACAAATATGTCTAATTCTTAAAAAATTATTAAATTTTTCATTGTTTATGCTGGTCGAAATATTTTTACAATGAATAAACATCGTGGATGCGAAAACAATCTATCGTATACAAGGAAAAATACTTGCCTGTTGCAGCTGAACACGAAACTAACTTTAACGGGCTGCGTGAAGCCTTTCGTAAGCGTCATGGGCTCGGGATAGGAATGTCTCGACGATCTAACGACGACTTCCAGGGCGCTAGTGTTGGTTTTGGAGTCCCATAGTTGGCATTTGGGCAATGCTATTCTAGTAGGCGAAGGCAATACTTTCATACACAGCTGCCTGTTATCGACAAACTTTTTAAACGCTATTTGCATCTCCATGGTAACTGTGGATTTTTCGACCCCGGCGAGGGCCAATCGGATCGCCATCACTTTGGGTATAACGAATTTAAATGGGATGTGATAGAGCGATTCCAACGGTAGCACTTCGTAGTTACCGAAATCGACGTAGAAAACCTACAAAGCAAAAAACGATTACGATACTTAGTTTTTTATAGATAGAATATATATATTTACCTTAAACATAGCATCGACTTCATTGGTAACCACAGCCCGGCAAATATTACCATCTTCGATGCATTTCGCCAAGCATATCGTCCCGGGAATGGGAACATCCTCCAACAATCTCAAATTGATGGTGTTGATTTCGTTCATCAACTTGACGAGGCCCTCTTCGGACTTTTTGAGCTGCACGGAAAATTGACAAGGCCCATCGTTCACGTAGGAAACGTATACTTCGTACTCGACGCCCGGCTCTAAAGTATAAGCCTTGTAGGTGTTTATTTCGGGTGCTACGCTGCTCGCCGATTGGGCGGAATGGTTCTGTTTTTGCATGCTCATGCCCAACAGTACGGCTTGTTGAGCTTGAAGGGAGGTCGGTTGCATCAAACCCCGTTGGGTTAGCAGTTTAAATAGATCGGTTCCTGTAACAAAACGGTTTTGATAGGATAATCGATGTAGATGTTTAATAGGGAGACAGTTTGTTAGAATCTCATCTTTACTCACACAATATTCTCTCAAAACTGTTAATACAATACAATACAATCGTGAAGTAGAATTAATACTAATATCAGCAGGAGTGTCAGACTTTTACTCACTAGTGTTACTTCCTGCTATTCGGTTTCAAAAAAAAAAAAAATAACATCTTATTTATGCGCAAAAAATGCAAGAGCTACAACAGTCGAAACTTAATATTCTCAATGACAACACCTGTAAAATATCATCGGTATTCGAAAGGGACATATTCGAATACTTCAACAAGTATTTAGTTACAGTCACAAACGAGTTTGAACGTAAATGTGTCGTGAAAAAGTCCGGCAAAAAAAAAATACGAAAACATACAGCACGAAAAGAGCACTATTCGAATTGTTGATATAATTGAATTGATAAGCTTTATACCTTCGATAGTAATCTGCACTAGGTAGTAATTGGTGGCCTGCGTGAGCAACAAACATGAGACTTCTCTGTATTTGATTTCCTTGGCGATGTTTTCGAAGATGATGTCGTTCCATTCGCCGCCTCCCACGCAATGCGCTTGGGCCAAGATGAAACCGACGGCGAGAGGCGGTATACTGGCTATGGACGAATGGAAATTCTGCAAAGATCTCACCGATTCGACGGAGACGATGCCTTTGTTGCCGTAGTCGATGAAATTAACCTCCAAACTGCCGTCCCTCACGAAGGCGCTTTTCAGGATCTTGGCGCGATAGTATTTTTCGTCTTTGTATTTGGCGCAGACGAGCGTGCCCGGGGGCAGCGATTCCGCCGCCACTTCGCCGATGCCGAGGTTCAATTGGGACGTTACTTGGGCGAGAAACTGCTCGACGTACAACGCGTTGTTCTTGTCCGTTTGGCCCCAAATTTTCAGGAAGGGTCCCTCCTTTTCCACGTACGTTACGTACAGGTTGATGCATTGCGTGCTCATGTCGAATCGGTGATTCAGTCCTTTTAATAGATCTAATCGGAAAACACCGGCATCACAAGAAAACTACGATTTTTGAACGCATCTCCAAGCGAAATCAAATCGCGATCAAGTCGGCTTCGCGTGCCTTCGGACGGATTCGTGTTTTTATGCGCGTTGCCAACATAACAGGAAAAGGCGGGATTTTCGAATATGCGAAATAAGTAGATCGAGTGGTTTAATAAAATTTAATAAACGATTGACGATGACTCACCGTTGAAGATCGAAACGGATCGTCGGCAATAAATAATGCTAACGGTACAATTTGATGTATCGTTAAGTATTATAAGAATAAGGAACGGGTAATGCGGTTAAATCTAATAAAAATAGTTAACGAGTTCAAAATGGATGAACTTTTTGGTTTGATTTTAAATTTTTCGAAATTAGTTAGTGTACAAATTGTTATCATTGATATAAATATGAATTGTTTACCTGTTTTTAACAAACGCAGCACAGAAAATTTGCAAACACTACGAGTAGTTCGTATGTACAAATAAATTGTCTTACACCCAGTAGTGCCAACCGTCGAATGGTTAATTGATTGGATTATACAGGTTGTCCCATTGTGTAATATTTATAAAAAAATGAGAAAACACTGGAAATTTGTTGATTAAAACTGTTGAATATGATGACCTGTAGGAGATTCTAGGATGAATGTTTGTAGAAATTGGCTTAAATATCGTTTTTGTTTAGTTTTATCTACGACCTCCACCCCTCGTCACTCGTCACGTCACAAGTGCTTTTACATTAGGAATTCTCTAGATGATAAAGTAATAAACCAAAACAACAAGTAAAAAATGCTTTTATAGAAATATATTTGTAACAAAATGAAAACAGTACATACTCTTACTACAATTAAATCGTAGGAAATACTTTCAACATTAACGTAATGAAGAACCTGTTGAAATATTTCCTCGGAACGCCCGGAACGATGTAAAACAATCAGATCAGAAAATTAGTAGCTACTACATCGTTCGGGCGTAAATTTAACAAGGAAATGCGACTTATTTTACAATATAAAACGAACAGTCTCTCATTTATTCGACTTTGGCTAAAATGTCTGATTCTCTGAATATGTGGTACTCCACGTTATCCTCTACGTTGACTTTAGTACCGCCGTACTCAGGAAGGAGAACTTTATCGCCCTCTTTAACTTGAGGAGCAGCAAACGAACCATTCTGAAACAATATTATTCCAATATTACAATCCGTAGGTACCAATGTAATTGTAAAAAAGCAAGGAATTTTAAAGAATTTTAGCCTTTTTAATGAACTATTAACGGATTATACTTACTTGCAGCCTTGTACCTTGCCCTACAGCAACCACGGTACCTTGTAGGACTTTTTCGGCTGCCTTTTCCGGAATTACAATGCCCCCTTTGGTTTTTGTGACCAATTCGTTTTTCCTGATGAGGATCCTGTCGAAGAGAGGAATCAATCTTTTGGCTGCTCCAGACTGGAATTTGAGTGGGTTAAATTAAATATCGAAACCAAAGATTGGTTAATTGCTATGGTGGCTTACCATTTTTTGATGGTTTGTAGTAGATAGGTGACGAATGTGGAAGGTTTTCACAAATTAGAGTTTGTGAAGAATGAAACTGGAGGAATATTCTCGAACGACCCGGCAATGAGGTTATCGGACACGAGGTTGCAGTGGCTCCACTTGCGGTGTGGTGTAATATAAAACTAAATTAAGCGATGAACGGAGTAAAATTGGACGTGTTTTGTAATCGCTGTCTTTTTCACCTTTATATTATACTCTATTATCGTGTGGTGAAGAACGTATGTCGAGTATTGCATAATTCTTAATGTCAAAAATGTCAAGTGTCAAAAAATCTTCACGTTTATTCAAAAGATGGCGGTTAAGTCAAGATGGCTACTTTTTTAAAAACGCAATAGATGGCACACTAGAAAAATTATTTTTGAAATCTCCATTTTCTTAGTAAAAATTTTTCGATAAATAAAAAGTTGTCCCCGATTCCCTATATCCCTTTCTGTGGCTTTATTTCTATATAATAGACATTTAATTATTTTATATTAGGATTTGATGGGGACTTTTTCATGGAAAAACAAAGGTCGCAAACTTCAATTTCTATTTATTGAATTAACAAATAACAGTACTAAAGTAATTTCTAAGTATGTTCATTTCAGCTAATTAAGAACAAAAAAACAGTCATTAAATAGTTAGAATGAATTCGTTGTTATTTTAATTAATTTTCGCTCATTGAATAAACAAAAGGAATGAGCAATAATATATGAAATTTATTTCATAAGTTCATAAGGGTTTATAATTATAATCAGAAGCTACTGAAGGTAAATAAATTAAACATTTGTATTAGAAAATTCAATTTCTAATTAATTAAACACGTTCGCTTCTAAATCGATACGACATGAACATACTTGAATGCATTTAATAAATCCAATATTTCTAAATAACCAATTTTGGTGCTCTTATTCCTATAATATCAAATGGCTCAATTTTTGTAGGTGTTTATGGTGTCGAAGCGCATTTACCATTAAAAAATTTTGCGATAAAAAATTGAAAAAGAATAGACGTGGTATTAATTTAATCAATTTATTATAACTACATATTGCTTCAATTTTATTAATTGACTTGGTCAATTTTTCTTATTTATATACCAATTTTTATTTTTGTCCTTATTTGAAAAAAAAAATACACGTATTTTAATACATACACTAAGCTAAAATGAAATAGACTGCAAACATTTAATAATACCACATACATTTTTCAGAAATAATTTTATTTCAGTTATAAATCATCCACACTATCAGTTCGCTTGTTTTCAATTTAATAAGTTTCTCATTATCTCCCAGAGAGGCATAAAATAATAAATTGTCATGTATTTATTTATCATGAAGTTTAATTATTACAACTTTTTTCATATAAAATTATAGTAAGTGGATTAAATCCTCAATAGCTAGCTTATCTAATACAGAGCATTGTAGGTTTTTTTCTTACATAAAATAAAGAAATAAATAAAATAAATTCAACAACAAAGCCTTTAACACCATAAGTACCCTAATTGTAACAATAATATAAACAGAGTTAAGTCTTCTAATCACATTTGTAAAAATTGTTATTAAATCAGATGAACTAGTACAGGGCCAGTACTTTCTACTTAAGTAACAGCTGCTTTTACAGAGCTTAAATCCATCTAATCTGGAATATTTCAATTGGTATAACAATTAAATCAAATAAATGAGTGTATATGTTCTAAAAATATGTGGCGTGAAACTTGTTTTTTTTTATTAATTGGCATTTGAATTTAATAACTACTTACAAAACACGAAAAATTGATTTTAATTAGCAATAAAACGAAAATACAAACATCATTAAAAATGAATTTTTAACGACTACTTTATTCATCGACTTTTTTATCTAATTTTTTTAGATAATTTTCATCAAATTATAAGCACAAATATTAAGTTAACAACTTAGAAAATGTTTACTTACCTTTAAATTCGGTTTTTCGCAGGAATAATAAACCGTACTGATTGTATAATTTAATAATAATAAAAAAAAAGAAATACCGAATATGGCTACCATCTAAAATTTACAATGTTTTTTTCCTTAATTTAATTTACAATGCGGCCCTGCACGAATACTGGAGATAAAAATATTGATTTGAATATTTTAGGAAACGATTAAACGAGAGATCCCCGCGAGTATTGGCACAAACGTTAAAACATCCGATACTCTTTAAATAAAACGATGGAGACCAGTCGTAGGGAGACCTGAAATATCTTACTTGCTTTTCCTTTCCTACATTTAGTGAATCTTTTTCGATGAAGCCGATCCAGCCCCGTACGATGATCCCTTGTCGATTTCAGTCATACCAATGGTTTTCTTTAATAACAGGAAGACTAAAAGCAACAAAATGAAGATTATAAATACAAAGAATTTATAGTAGAAGAAGATACTCACAAGCCCCGATGATGCCGGCACCAATCGAGAACAACACCAACTCTCCGCTGAAGAGCATCTTAACCAAATAGTAAGATATCGGCAGTAGCGTTACAAATTGCCACAAAACGATGTTAAGCGCAGAATAAATCCGGGCCTGCACTTGGAATGGTTCCACGCGCGGGACGCCGGACGTCGCGAAGAAATCGCCAGTCTTCAGGAAACTATCTCTCAATTTGTCCTGCAAACACCCCGACATTTACCCGACGAATTTCCAACGCCGTTTCCACTCACTTTATCGACGAACATCTGCTTGAGAAACTCGTCCTGTTGGGCGGGCTCGGCGGGTACTTCTTCGAAGGGAATCCTGCGGAAGTACATGTGAGCTTCGGTGGGTTTGCCCAGCAGTAAATTGGTGACCGTCGGTTTGATGGGGTCCTGCTCGTCGAAGGCGAGCTCTACGTTGTAGATGGCCGGCACTTTGCCCCTCATCGAGGGCAAACTGGCCACGAAGCCTTTGGTCCTCGGCAGGAGGTGGTGCTTCAACGGGGTCAGGTTGTGTTTATTGGCGAATTCCACGGAGGCTTCGTGTTTCTTCGGCGTGAAACGGGTGCCTTCGGGGAAGAGCAGGAGCTAATTGTGGGATAGATCGGTGCATTAGATAAGGTATAATCCTAATTTAATGTCGATGAATAAATTGTTTATTAGAGCAATATTGAATGGTATAAACCTATCGTATGTAGATAAGTAGATTTAATCTTTGTATTTTGCGGTACTACAAATTAGCTTTTGTTTAAGTTTAATTAAATAAACGATAACGTATAAAGTAGCGCTCGCTGTTAATTTTTAATTTTTGTTTAAAATGTAGTTATCAGTGAAATTGTCAACAATTTTCATTGTTTAATTGTAGGTTAATTGGTTGACTAATGAAGCAAATGATAAAATGTAATTTGATCATCAAATCAGAAAAAAAACAAGAAAAATAAATGAATCATTGATTAAATGAATAAGCTATCAATAAAAAAAGTTTACATTATTTTAGACTTTAGACTAAGAGAAAGCAATTATAAACCAACAAGGAATTGATTTAGGAAAGAAAGGTTTCTAATTAATGGAAAGTTTAGAACAGTTAATTATTATCAACTGTAGATTGCATAAGTGTTCTAATTTATGATAAGTAGGTTAACGCGTTTTAATTTAATATTAAGGGGAACATTTAATTAGAAATGTAAACGATAATCAATCAAATTGCAATATTGCACGTAGGTATAGTATTTTAATAGGTATGTAAATTAAACAGACATTAATTTTTTAGAGCTTATAAAAAATTAAACTGCTATTTTCTACCTACCAGGAAATATTTTGTTTTGTGAAAGTTCAATCTGATAGAAAATGTAAACTTTGATTAAAAATGTTCAAATTTCCCACGTTTAAAATACTTCAAACGGAAAAGGTAAAATTTGCAAGTTATCATTTATTTAATAACATTATAAAATAACTTGCTATTTATTTAATTTTATGAGATTTAGACAAAACATCAATAATCATTTTATCAGCATTAATTATTTTTAGCAATCGATGAAAAATTGGAAAGCGTTTAATGAGAAAAGCAAATGTCAATAAAATCTACGCAAATCATACCGCAAAATGTCCTTGTATGAATAATTGTATAATGATTTATAATTGATTAATTAAATATCCTTATTATTGTAAAGTAAAAAAAATATTGCATAAAAATATACGATTGATGCTCCATAAATTATAAAATAAAGGAAGATTTTTATGTAGAAACTATAAATTTTAAACAATAATCCTAAATATCTCAATATATTCAAACGATTAAAGATAAAAAAATATTGAGATTATATTGTTGCGCACTAGATTATCTATAAATAATTGAACATATACTTTGAACTTTTAGATTTGTAGTCTAATTTTAAAGTACAGAAAGAACCAATCCTAAATCAAAGGTTAATTGAATTAAAATTTGATATAATATAAAAAAATACGATATAAATAAAAAGTATTGTTCTGGGCTTTTGCTCGATTTAATGAAACTGAAATTTGTACAAAATTGTTTGCAATATGGTCAAATCTATGAATCGAATAGAGACAAATTATTAAAATTACAGTGGTAAAAGTGAGAAAGTTGCTTTCTTTTTTCCTTTAGTTATCTTTGTTACACCCATACACCATCTCGCATACAACTTTGCACTTATCCGTATATTTAGCAAACACATAAAATTATCAATCAAAATTGGTATGAATGAACTTATTATTTATTTGTCACAGTTGTATTAAGAAACCTAAAAATTCTGTAAACAAACAATAATCGCTCCATATCACTTACCCACATAGGATCAGGATGTTCGGCCAATTCTGTAATTTGCTTGTTTATGGTTTCCTTGTCCTTTTCGAAATTTCTCTCCAAAAATACAAACTCCGAACATTTCCACGCCCATCCCAATACAGGTATGTATTGAATAACTTTCTTTGCGTACGCTTTGCAATTCTAAAACACACGCAAACCCCTATAAATTCGGTTTGTTTATTTTATTAGCAAATTCACCTTGATTAAGTTAACAGCGAATTTAAATTCATTAGATATAGAAGAATAGTTTTTACTTATTCATTGTCTGCTATTGTCGAACGAATAAAAACAATGCGCTATTTTGAATGTCCAATGAACTTAACAACAATGTATTAATAAGGTCATTTCCGAATAACGCAGTTGAATACAAAAAAAAATGTGTTTTTCAACTGCAACGTACACCTCGTTTAAATAAAAATCATAAATTCAAGACGGCAATTAAAATCTATAAATAGCAATTGTAACAACAATAGCTTGGAAGGAAATAATGAATGTAAAATAGATTAAACTTACTCCTAAAAGTTGAATTCTATCGGCCACCATCCATCCAATCAACCAATCTATTTCGTACGTGTGGTTCATTATAATATAAGCGTGTTCTTTCCCGAAATATTTATCGAACACTTCCCTATCTATGTAAATGTTAACTTTCGTTTGCGACCACCAGTCGCCCAAACATACCAATTCTAAAAAAAAACACAAACACAAACAAACAAATAAGTTAGAAGCAATGGAATTAACGCCATTGTAAATTAGACTTACGTGTATAGAGCGTATAGCATAAATACCAATTTATTTTCCTATACAACCACTTATTAAAAGGTCTAATTGTTATATACAGCAAGCATTGCGTTAAATTCACCACCACGCCTGATGTGAAGAAGGAAACGGCCAAACACAAGTGGACCAGTCTCGAACGCTTCAACATTTGAAGATTTAAGGTCATTTTTCTAAAAAAAAAAACAAGTACTATAAATCTAATTAATTAGAAATTATATAATGAATCTAGCACACATTCACTCACACGAAAGTGTTATTAAACAAAACGTTCTCTAGCTATCAATTCGCAATAGGAGTGTTTTTGTTGAGAAAAATAACTAACCTTTTGTTTATCGCTCTTTCCACTGCTCGCTGTCACAGAATCTCGACGATACTGAACTGAACTGACAAATGCGGTTTTGATTTGATCGGTTTTAAAATTCAAAACACCTGATGTAACGACTGGCGTTTTTCTAGGTTATTTCCAGTTTTCTCCAGTTTTCTCCGCGGCGTATTTTACGTGCTCGTTTGCATAATTGTGAATCGTCCGCCGGCGAGGATCGCAATTAATTTCCGGGGCGTTCGCAATTAAAATTCGCACCGTTAAATTATTATTAATCGGACATTAAAACGAACGATCTGAAGTTGATTACGAAAAATTTCGATGACAGTGACAGTGACATTGACATTTAGGATTGACGGATAGAAATTATGTGCTGTGTGATTTGTGTTGTCTAATTCGAGATTTTTCAAAAATGTACACTGCTCACCGGATTTATTGGGTTGCAAAGTGAATTTTGGATAAAATTACAGTATTTTTTTCAAATGTGAGTGTATAGAATTCAAAAGAGAGAATTAAACATGTGCGTATACGAAAAATCCCTATTATTATCCTCTATAACCGCCATTTTCGGTAAAACCTCTAAAATTGTTGCATTAACATTTTTACAAAACACCAATGTCATTAAAAGTTGCACATTCTCCGTTTAATGACGGTTTATTAAAATAAAATTTCCTTGAAACGGTTTCCTTTTTTTCTTAATCGATAGCGAAATTAAGTCGATATAACAAAAAGCAATTATTGTGAATAATTCAGCGAATTAAACAATTAATTAATTAAAGCAGGAATGCAAAAAGCATGTAGATGATACCGAGTTTTCTTCAAAGATTATCATTCCAGGTCGTATATTCGCTGCTGATAGTGATTATTTAACTCGGTGAAAGTGTTACCGGCATTTTGCATTAATGCAGAAGCGTACCAATACAAAAAATAGATGTATATTTTTAACAATTTCTTAATAATTTAATAGTTACCTAGCTACACTTGTACTTTGAATTTAGTTTCATAGATCAGGGATTATAATACGCTGCACTCGATAGAACTTCTGTTCAATTATTGAAGACTCTTTATATAAACTATGACATAAAAAAATCAATATTTGCAATACGCTAGAGATTACAATTTTAATCTGTTGATGGATTTTTTACAATGTAATCCATTTGGATAATTATCCGACATAAAAAATAAATGCAACAAGAATCAAAATTCAATGCATTCAAAATGCAAATTTCTGTTAATTCCACACAAACTAATTTGAAATAAACTTTCTACCACTAAAAAAAAAGGCATAACAGACGAAATATAAATAATGATTTATAGCACGCCAATGAGCGTTGTCTTCATCGCACAAACGCCACATCAACCGAGTTATTCAACCGTGGTTGATGCAGAAGAATGAAGACCACCCTTCGTTGTAGTGGGAAAAAATGAGAGTAGGCGAAGCCGGAGCCGTAGAAATTGAACAATTTTTCCGTTAATGTCGCATTTTCGAATGTGTTAACAAAGCGACAAAGACAAAAATGTTGGCCGGTGCTTTCGTATTTACAGCGTTGTGTCTGGTGCTCGTCGCAACCGCAGAGATACCGGTTAGTAGAAATTATTATTGCATTTATGTAATCGATTTTACGATTTTTTTTTCTATGTATGTATTTTTATTGCGCGGTAGTTGAACCGAAAATTAACGACACTTGTTAGGGCAGTGTAAGTTTTTATAAAAGATAATAATGATATATTTTTATGTATGTGGAACCAATACGTAGTGTGTAAATATACTGCTCCACAAAAGTTAAGGAAGTTTACAAATATTGAGATTAATTTAAAAGTTGCTGATTTTTTTATTTAATTTCGCATATTTGAAAATTTGGTGATCAAAAAGTGTGTAACTTTTAAAATAATCGCAAAATTTGCGAATTTCCTTAACTTTTGTGGAGCAGTTTATTATGTATTGGGTTAATTACAATAATGTAATATAGATTTGGAATGAATTACAATGATGTGGTAATGGTATTAGCAACGTATATACTATAAAAAATTGATATTGTTATTATTTGCTTTAAAAAGTAGATGTTATAGGTATTAGACAACATCAGACAAGGAAATAAATAATAATTATTTACAATTTAATTACCTACTATTTTACTTTAATGACACACATAACTCACAGCAGAGGCAAAAAATAAAAAAATCTGTAACTTTTACGTAAAGTATACATAGCATAATATCTATAATAACATATTTTTAGATCTATTTCGAGGAGATTGCATTTATTTAAAAACATAGTACCTATTAACAAAAACAGAAATATTCTTGAAGAGTAGAATATAATAGCTCCAATAGGCGAAATTAACGGTGTCAACTTAATTGTTGAAGTGTAACAAGTTGTGTAATTAAACCTCCATTAACAAGGCTGTTAGTTTGAATAGGAACACTTAATTATTACCTTCCGAATAAATAAAACCTGAAATCGATTGGTCGCAGATCCTTTGCGTGTGTTTCCTGTTAAGAAACTGAAAACTTTCAAAATTAGATTAATTAGGTCTAATAAATATGAAAATGTTTGTAATATGAATACGAAATAACCTCTCTATATACAAAATCGAGAGCTGGGAATATATGCAAATTTATCCAGTTTACTATTATTAAGAAATGCAATATTTGTAAATAATAGACAATTCAAAGTATTACATTGCGAACAATAGAACGTATTAAATAATATAGTAAAGGGTTTTATATAGTTTTTATTGCACAATCCACAATGGAATGTAAAATGAAAGAAGGTCTTTCATCCATTCATAAAAATTCAATGCGTACGAAATAGCGTGTGTGAGAAATTTGAATTGTTTTCTGGTTATTTTTTCAGAAAAATTCGACGCGCAAATGCGAAATTCCCGCGTCCGCACCGAAAAAGGTCGAGGAAGTGATTAACCAATGTCAGGATGAAATTAAATTAGCGATTCTTTCAGGTAATTCGTTCCACTTGATAATATCAAAATTATACAAATTGAGGATGTATGATACTTTATTTTTATTGCAATAATATTTACTTGCATTTATTTTATCATTTGATTCGATTTGAATAATAGAAATAATCAAGATTGTTAAGATATTAAAGTTGTAAGGATAATCCTAATGAACAATATAATTGATACATTTTTTTTATTGTACTTTTTAGAGGCTTTGGAAGCTTTAAGTCTCAATTCACAGGAAAATGAGCATTCTCGCAGTAAAAGAGCAGCTTTTACCGATGACGAACGAAGAATAGCTGGTGTAAGTAAAAAAAAATAACAAATTTAATTCACTAATATTCTATTCAATTATCAATTGTAATCTACTTACTGAATTATTTCTTCCAGTGTTTATTGCAATGCGTGTACAGAAAAATGAAAGCCGTAAGTACAAAAATTTTAACAAGTAATTTAAAAAAAATCACGTTTTAATTATTAGATACTATTTTATAAAATTTATGCGCTACTTAATTAATATGCAAGTGGTTATTTTTTGCTGATATTTTTTTATTAAATTGTAAAATACAATCGACTAAGTACCTTGAATTATATTGCATTGAATTAATATTAAACGGCATTCGTAATGAATAAAAAGTGTATTCAAACCTACAGTGATTGCCAAATAGGTTTACCTCAAATTTAGCAGTAGGCGAGTAATTTTGCTAGCAATTAATGAGCATTAATTTTTTTTAGGTGAATGAATATGGTTTTCCAACAGTCGAAGGTTTGGTGGAATTGTACACTCATGGAATCAAACAGAAGGAATACATTAACGCAACAGTTTATTCGGTAGAATTCTGCATTAACAAAGCCAAGAAGATGCATTCAGTAACTGAGGAATCTTTACTGCAAGGTTGATATTTATTTTATCTTGGCTTAAAAAAAGGAATATGTTGGGAATTGCCTAAATACTTTTCAATTTAACAACGTGTTTTTTCAATTTTTGGAATGCAGCAATCCTAAATAGATATTTGGAATATTACCTGTTTATAGTCACCATGGAATTGGATCCAGTTAAAATTCTCTTAGTATAGCGTTGAATACAAAATATGGATTCAATAATTCATTCGGAATTTCTTCTAAAGAAAGCAGATGAATTCTATTTAAAAAAAATCAATTAATGTCAATACAAAACAAGCACCTAATTACAACCTAAATACCAAATAAATTAATGGCTGGTTGTCGCATGAAGAAATCCATTCTCATTCTCAACAACAGCATTAGATTAGCAGTATAGTAAAGAAAAGTTGTAAAAATTGCATAACGCGAATAAAAATTATTGATTATTTGCATGACCCCTATTCGAGGCGCAATAAATAATTGCTCGATGTTATAATAGCCGGTTAATGAGCCGATGATAATATATTTTTTTTTTTATTTCTTTTTGCAGATCACGTTAAAACCTGCGACATCGCCTACGACATATTCGACTGCGTGTCCGAAGAAATCGGAAATTATTGCGGACAAACACCATAAGACCTATAACGGGATATTCGGAATGCAAATATTTATTTATTGAAAATATCCTCTCCTGTTGTATTTGTATTATAAATTGTAAACGTTGCAAAATTGTCGTAAATTACTTTAACAATCAAGCGTGTAGTGAATTAGCTCAACGATATGGCGATGTACAATATGTACCTAAATATACATAAATATGTAGATATACAGTTAGGAAATTAGAGATGAGATATTTTAATAAAACATTAGATAATTTTATTGTATATTACTGGCGATCTGTAGAAATAATTAATTAATTGGATAGACATTAGTAGTAAATTCACCAAAGACATTTTATGTTTTTAACGTTTTTCGAAAAAAAAAACACCCATTACCTTGACGGTTTCTAATTGTCTTTGTAAAAAATGTTACAATGGAAAATAAAAGAATGCATAATTAAACAATTTGTTTATCAGATTTTGAACGGAGGTCGATATAATATTTTGCCGTTGAGATATAGCACCTGTTACATTAACTACCTAATGCTGTTTAAACGGTTATTTATTAATAAAATTTAAAGGTTGATCATCAGAGATTGTTAATTTTATCTTAATTGGTTAATCTTTATAAAAAGAAAATGAAAAAAATTGTTATTTTTTCAAAAAATATCCTAAAAACACAAAATGTTTGTGCCTCAATCAGTTACTTACTTCCTTGTAGAGTTTAGGAAATATTTGGTAATTCCATGATTCGATTTATTTAGTCAAGTAGATTCAACATTGTTTGCAATATTGGATGCAACAAAGACAACTTGCATTCTAGTCTTATATAAAGGAAAATGAAAAAGAGTGATACTGATGTAGGATTACAACTTTCTCATTCTAACAACCCCCGTTATTTGAATAATCTTTCTTTATTCAACTCATAGATTTCACCATATTCCAAACAAACTTGCACTTACATATCTGTATAGAGCCTCCAGATTGGATCAAGTTCAATTAAATCATAGATCACCTTAGATGTAGAGAGGAGTAATTAGTCAATGATCATTTGGCTCGTTCAGCGACTTTTGTTTACATTTCAGTTGATTGGTAATGATGGGTTTAACGAGCGTATCAAAGACATTGTTCTCATGATTGTATTTAAATAATAGTAAATCTCCCCATGCTAGTTAAGCGCTAGTTATCTGGACTTTTAAACAGTTTTAATTTTGTAATTACCGTGTACTTGAATCTTAAACGGTGAAATTGAGCAATTTGTGGCTTATCGTTTTAATATTTTCAAACTTTATAAGAAAATATTCACAAAGGTACAAAAAAATGATCGAAATAAAATGTTATTTCGGAATTATTTTGAGAATACCATCAATTATCTGCTATTACACAAAACCGATTAGAACATTTCCTTCGTTTAAAGACAATACCACAACAATTAATACGCCACACACCGTTGAAATCTGAAAAAAAAATCTGATAAGCGAACGATACATACCTATCGGGGATAAAGATCTGCGTTAAAGAGATTCCAATTTCATCGAATTTATGATTTCGACCTTGTCAAGAGACAGGATGTTGCGTTATTCGGTGCTGTGCGTATCTTAAAAACACTGCTCTATTGTTCGGAATAAATTACTCACCGATATTCTGATACTGAAGATGGTTTTTTTTTTTTTAGTACGGGGGGCCGGTCGTTGGAGCGCCAACGAGATGTTATTAAACGATATATTTTATTGTAGTTTTCAATAAATTTTCTAGTTTTTACTTCGAGCGATGCTTGGAGGTTTTGAGGAAAATTTATTGTAGTATAATTAGCAATTATCGATGAGGATTTCGAAACTGGACGATTGGTTGTTGTTATGAAACTAATAAAAAGAACATTCCTTTTATGACATTTTTAATAGTTGTTTTTTGGATATGTAAATAATAAAGTACTACCTACTTATGATACTGCTGTAATGATAAGATTAAAAAAAGGAAATATGGTGTACTTGCTGCAATAATAAAATTCAATTATCGTTTTAAAGTAAATCCGTAATTAACAGAATAATGGATATAATCGTTGGTTACATCCGCAGGGTTGATTAAAGTATGACAAAAAAGCCATAAACACTTTTGTTAGATGTGTATCAAAAATTATAGAAATACTTCCTTCGACCTAGCTCGAAGTATATGCGAATTAGTACTAAGAATTTCACTTATTTTCTTCATTTTACGTATCCAAAATCCTTATCATAATACCGAAAAAATTGTATAAACAATTAATAAAACGGATTATAATTTAATCAACTACACCACTGCCTTAATAAATTACCATTTCTAATTTTCGGCTTTTGATCGTTCCCGGATTAGCAATTAAAAACGTACATAACGTGAATGAAAAAACAATGATCAATGAAACAAAATAATTAAAGAACCTCTCCTCCGGTTTCATGCGAGCAATTAAGATACACATGTTAAATTACCGTTCCCGCAGTTATTAAAAAAAAAAAAAAATTATGAAGTGTCCAATCCGAGAGGTCCTGTGTCCAACAGACCGTTGAGGAAACTGCAAGGCCATCTCGGATCTTCACGCAAGGAAGATTTTCCTCGCGAGTCGCCCAATCGTTTCGTCGAAGGTTTTCATTTGGGGGAACCGGCGGTTTCGCCTGGTCCGCCCGGTTGTTGTGTCTTGGAGATGAGAAAAAAAATGTGTTAAAACCCCACTATGGGATTTATGAATATAAAAGTTATTTCTTCGATTTTTTAGGCGTCAGTAGGGTTTTGGACGCGTTTTTCGAGCCAGTGCACCTTTGGATGTGCTCATGTTTGTTAGTATGTGCTTTGAAAAAGTGAGTGGATTCGAAGAAATTAGTGAATTTTTCTACGTTAATTCCTCTAATTATTTTACTGGTTGAAATGTTTCTACTGCAGCTACAAGACCATATTTTAAAGTGATTAATTTTTTTCGTATTTGTTTGCAGAAAGTTATATGGTTATTGTTAGTAATAAAACTTGCGGAAGACACAAAAGCTGCTGACGATGATTATAACATTCTGCGAACGGACGGTTCCTTCGATTTCGGTTACGATAACCCGGATAGTTACCATTACGCTCAAGCTAACAGGAATAACGTAGTTAGAGGCGAATTCGGCGGTAGAAATCCAAAAACAGGTAAATTTTATCCAGTACAATCTACTCGGGAAATAATTGGTTATGAATTTGTTACAAAAAAAAAATTAGGAGCTATAGATACAACGCACTACACAGCTGGTCCCAGGGGTTACAGACCAAGAGGAAAAAACGTTGTCAGAAAATACGATCTCAGCCAAAACGGTCCAAGAGCTGTGGGTTCCCGAGACGATCCTTACTACGATCCCTACGAAGATCCCAGTTACAGTTTTTCCTTCAGAACTCGAACCTACAACAGAGACGAAAATGCCAACAGGTGAAAATTAATTCCCCATTCTTCACAAACATTCCAGTTTAATATTCTTTGCGATAGAGTCGGCGATGTTAATGGGAGATATTCGTACATCGACGATGTAGGCGAAAGACACAACGTCGAATTCATCGCCGGTAAAAAAACGGGATTCCACGTGAAAACCCCATTTCCCGATTCGAATCCGAGAGGATACGGCCCGCTCTATTACCGAGGACGCGGAAAACCCATACCTAGAGGTCGAACGTCCATCCAAAGAGGCCTCGACGGAAGCTACAAGTAAAAATAACCCAACAAATTCCTCCAATCGATTAACCCAGCTTTACTCATCAGATTTGTATCGGCCGGTCCGGACCAAAGACGAACCGAAACCAGCGATTCCACCGGCCACGTGAGAGGCTCCTACACCTATCTGGACGACAAGGGAGTCCAACATTCGGTGCATTACATAGCAGGACCCGAAACCGGCTACAGGGTGTTGAAGAACGTCAAAGGACCTCACCTGCCGACGGTTTTTCCCTTCCGCTATCCCGACATCGTCCCTCCCGATTTCAACGACATACCGGAGATCTTCAGCACGGCTGCCAGCGGTCACCGGAAACCGGGATTCGACGATGAAGATAATGGAATCGGCGATTTCGGTGGGACATCGTCGACGAATCGACCCGGTGGAAGGCGACCCCGACCGCCTATACCCACCCCCAAATATCCTTCGGATGGAAACGAAGCCGACGATGAAGACGACACCGATTTCGACGATCTCTTCGGCTACACGGGAAGCAGAAAGAATAAACCTGGAATCAGCAAACCCAAATCGGACGAAGACTCTTTCGGAGCGTCCAAAGAGGACTCCTTCGAATCCCCGAAACAAACTACCGCCTCCAAAGAAGAGGATTCGTACAAACCATCCACTAACGGGTTGTACATCCCGCCAGCGGGGAAAAAACTCGCGTCATCAGACGAAGACTACAGCGCCGGATCGAAACCGCCGGAATCCTCGGAAGGGTTCAATCGAAGGAACAAATTCGAGGACTCCCCCAAAGACGAGGACTTCGGTGGGTTGTTCGGCAGCGAGAGCAAGGCTCGGCCGCCTTCGAGAGGCGGTTCGAGGCCGGTGATTAGCATCGGCGATGCGAAGAAGAGTTGCCGGAAGTGCGAGGGAGCCATAGTGACCAATGTGGGAGAGACGGAGCTGAAGGTTCCTCCGGGGGTGTCGGTGCGAGCCCACGTGCAGGCCATCGATTTGCTGCCCTACAGCTCGAGATTTCCCAAGCCCAGCGATCAGTACAAGGCCGAGATTGGGGTCGATACGGAGCAGCTGAACGCCGAGAAAGACGAAATTGTTCGCTTGAACGATAGGAAAGGTGATGGTAATGATGAGGAAGTTGAAACCGAGAAGCCGACGGTGAATAAATCTGATGAATCGGAGACGGAAAGGGCTGGAACTAAAGTAGAAAGTAGCAGTAAAAAACGAAATGAAGATATTGATGTATTTGGGAAAGATGATGAACATGCCAATGAGGATGATAATGAGGCGACTGTGAAGACTACAGAGATTGTACCGACCACTTTTTCGCCAAAAAAAATTGCTAATAAAAATTAATTTTTACGTTTTTCTTTGATTAGGTACAAATATTACTATCCATAAGAATAATGATAAATCCATATTTTACACTATAGTATTTTATTTTATTAACTGACTGACATTTATTGTTTCTCATAATATTTCGCTTTATTTATATTTTTACCATAGTAACGAGCATTGCAAAAATAAACGCTATGTCGTCGATTCGTTCACCACCATAAAATTTTGATGGTGCATTAAAAGAGTTTATTTCATGTTGAGCTTTTTATAGCCGTTATTTTTAAACAAATAAAACAAATAACACTCACATTTTGAATTTTTATTTGCTGCAATAATCCGAGCAATCCCCGATATCATTTACCCAATCCCAGCACACCCTCCTCCCTGTCAAGCAAACAATCTTACAAGAACCTCACATGAGGATAATGATAAGCGTAGTAAGGATAATAATAGTACGAAGGATATTCGAACAGCTGGACTTCGGGGTTAGGAATCAACTTGTAGCCGGGATAAGTCGGAATGTAAAGTTGCTCGGAGGGTTTCTCCCAATGTTGTCCGCCGCTCGTCTCTAATTTCACTTTATTTTGATCGATTCCCGATCGTTCCTCTTCGGTCTTGAGCTTCTCCGTCGATTGCAATTGCAATTGCAACTGCAATTTGTCGCCGATCAGATCCTTGTCCGGTATGGAATCCTTCTCGATCTTCAGCAACTTGTTCTCCAGCAGTGGGATCACCGGGATGGGCGCCAAAGGTATGGCCTTGTTCTCGTGAATGGTGTAGGCGTATTCGCCTCCATTGGACTTGACTTGAACGGTCGATTTCGATTCCACTGGCAGAATAGTGGCCGTTTGTCCGATGGCAAAGACCGCGGAAAGAGTCAACAGAATCTGGAGAGAAATAAAAAATATTTAATATGATGCACAATTTCCTAATAATTCTAAACAATTCCAGTAACTATAGCGTACGAAGAATATCTGATTTAGGTACGAATTTAATGTTTAACTTACTGTCTTCATTTTGCTCGGAACAATGCCTAATGCAAACATCTAGATCGAACTGACAAATGTCCGAGAAAATGGGAATCTTTTATACAGACCGAGATAAAAATAAGAATAAAAAGGGCTTTTGTTGGCTCCGAATGTGCGTCTCGAATTATGTCCGAGGCTTCGTAAAAATTGCTGCAGACGAAGATTATTTTTCTGCTAGGGAGCCAATAGGCCTTGTTCTTTTACGATATAAAAACAAATCGAGAATCTACTGGGACGTTTACGGTGCATGCAAGTCACGGCGTGTTCGTGCATTCCACCACGGTAACAACCATTCGGATAATTCGAGTTTTGTTCTTGTAAATGTCGAATTTCGGAGGTTCTTTTTAAGAAATTAGTGGGTCAAATTAGGGAGGAATCGTAAGGAAAAAGTATTTTAAAAAGTCTCGATTCTCTCGATATATCTGGAAAATATATGAAGAAAGTTTTATATGTTAGTGTTGTTAAGATAAGAGTACTAAAAAATAGTAGGCAGGTATAATTATTTAATAGAGGAAATATATTGATGGATAAAATTGAGTATCAACCAACTGATTGATCTACCGTAAGAATATAAATCTGGTTTCCCTGGTGGAAACGGCGTACAAAGAAACAGGTTGCATTTTTATTAAAACTAGTACTTACGACGAGCCAACTGTATGGAACTTATACAATGCGTTTGCTTGAAAATGTCGCATTTTGCATGTTTTCTACTGAAAAACTTTAGTGCAGGTTTGCTTCGTAAGTTAGATACAAACAGGTCGAAACTGTTTGGTTTCGTCGAATAATATTATTAAAGAGGCATTTACAAAAATGCCTTTACAAGAATGAAGAAATACCTGAATTTCATGAAGTTTCGTATAAAGCTTATTAAATTTTGTTTTTTTTTTTGGGGCTAGTACAAGTACCTATATGCATATTTTAATTAAATTAAGGATTATAGTAATTTTCTTGATGATATAATCAATAGTTTCAATAATTCCTTTATCTCAAGAGACCATCAAATTATCTAATACAAAAGTTTTCTAATTTTTATGTTTAGAAGTTTGCGAAAAACGAATGTGCCTACTTTTATCTACATAGAGAATGTGGTATCTGCTGCTTATTTAAAGTCAGAAAACGTTTTGCATTGTCGAATACCTGTAGCATAATGGAATACAAAGTACACTTACGTACGGTTAATTTGGGAACCAAAATTTTCGACGATTCTTATGAAACTCGTCTGATTTGGTAATATTTTAATATCGGACTGGCAGAGAAATACTTCCTAAAAATTCTTCTCACGGCTTTAAATTGTAATATTGAAAGTTTTTTAATGATGCACCATATCGAATTTAAATTACCTACTGCAGATACTTAATACAGTTTATAACTCGCCTTGTTTCATTTAAACTAGTAGATTCAATCAATTAATTTTATTCTTAATTCCTTTTTCTTAACAGAAATAAGTCAAAATCCTTGAGTTTCTCTATAGTTTGATGAGTTTAATTGTTACTCAAATACTTTACATAAATAATACAAACGATAATTACCTAAATTTCATACTTATTCTTGGGAATAATCGAGTTCTCGTTAATTTTCTAAGCAACAGACTTCATTAGTTTGTTCGTAAAGAGTCCGGCACTTCTATGTGTAAATATTTGACGGCATTTTCAACAAAGGTAAATTAGTATCTCATAAAATACAAGCTTTTCGTTTGAATTATAAACTCTATTTCAAACGTAGATTTTTTTCCAACGCATAAAAAAAAACCTTCTAATAACTTTTTTCAAATAGTCCGAGCTATTAAATATCAATCCCACAGCGGGTATTTTGATAAATGATGATGAGCCTCTTACCGCACGTTTAATATCACGCCTTATAAAGTTTATTAGCCGCTCAATTCGAATGAAATTTAGTTCATCCAACCTTACAACCGGATTATAACAACCGAAAAATTCGAAAACTAATTCATACATGTACTATTATTTATTACAATTTCATTCTGCCCTTCAGCATTGCAACACACAATCTAAACGTTGCATCTTCTTTATAAAAATGCCCGCTTTCATTAAAAACTTATTTATACAGAACAATATCTTTCATTTCAAATAATCTACAAAGAACTTTTGCTACACCAAGACCATTCTTAGTACTTGTTGCTCTATCTATCGATAGATATGTCTGTATACCGAATGAATTTCTCTTTTAATATAAAGTATAATAAAATAATTTATCGTTACCGTACGTCACTGTATTTGGCAACACACTTGTCTCGAGGTGCATTTTACACATAAAGTCGATCGAAGAGAAGCATTTGAGTCGCCTTGACATTGCATCAAGTCAACGACCGCATCATCTACGGGACCATTGGATTTCCTAGATAACGAGCGAATATAAGAATAAGACACCCACGGGGTATTAAAATCCAACCTATGTCCTTTTAAAAACCTGGACGACGTTTCGACGCGCCGTTTTATAACGTTTTTCGACGCCCAGGCGATCGCTCGACCAGCCTAGAATGCCCTGATGAAAAATCTAGTCGGTGTTTAACCGTTTAGTTTTTTTTTACAGACAGGTTTAATAGGTGATTTTGGCTAATTTTGGAGGTACAGTCAACTTTACAAAACTCCTCCGATAAAGTAGAATAGTATGCTTGAATGACTTCCCGATTGTTGCAGAAAAAAAAAATACCCATCACTTCGCAATAATGTTAATCGCGTTGACTTATCGACCCCATTATTCAAATCGTTCGAAACGCGTAACGGAGAAGGATCGCAAAGCGAAATAAAAGTTGTAAAATCATCGTCGTTATCTTCGCCATCTTTACACCGATTTATCCCATAAAAATATTACAGTTACTGTATATAAGCGAGTTTTTCCTAAACGGAGTGACATCCTACTTAAGTCGTTACAAAAATGCTGTATGAATATGCAAATGGGCATGTCATCAGAATGTTTTATAATCATGCAAATGCACTTGTACAATGTATATGCTCGAGCTCTCTACTATAATTGTACAGGAAGATCTAACGTAATGTTGGTTTATATGCGATTTTATTTTAAGGGGTTCGTAATATTTGTAGGATAATGTAAAATATACAGAGTGTGCAAAGGTTGGGAAATATCTTTAAAAAGTATGCACATTAGAGTACACATAAAAACCATTTATTTAAGAGAGAACCTGAAAAAAAAAATGTTCTCATTTTTGAAATCTCATCATCTGCATCTAGAAAATATTCTTTAATATTAAATTAATAATATAAATAGAGAATAATAAATATAGAATAATATAACTAAAGAATATAACGTATAAATACCGGTTGACTTTTCTCAGATTTTCCCCCAAGTATAGTCCCCCTCACAGGCGCTCGAAATTCGTAGTCGTCGTCGATCGGTTGCCATCATCAAGTGAAGAAGTCCGTTGACCAACGGGGCCCAAAATCGTCTTCTTCGAGAGCATCACAAGAGTTAAATAGAAAGAACGATATTTGCCGCTAGACAGTCCAACGGATACTCGGAAGCGCCTTAGTTTAATTTAGTGCTAGCGCAAATAAAACTTTAATAAAATATACACCAGTCGTTTTCGATTTATTTGGACGATATGAATTTCCATGGAAGGTGGTTGTTGTTTTTGTTGGTGAGTAATTTTTATTTTATTACTATTATTATTTTAGCAAAAATTTATATTCTGTGTGATATTTTGAATTTACTATTCACAATTAATTTATTTTATTTTCGATTATTTTTATTTTATCTTATCAAAATGCTGGTTACACTCATTACTACATTGTTCTAAGCTGTATTTTTTATTGCATCAAAATTTCAAAGAATGTTGATACAATTTAAACAAAAAATAAATTGCAACTTTATATCGATAGTTATGCACTCATATAATAAAATTTATTTTAATACAATATCAATACAATTGTATTGTAAATAGAAAGACTTTTTACAATTTAAATTTTCCTCTTTCAATTTTTTGAACAATAAATTAAACTTTGCAATGATTTTCCAAACGCTTTGAACAACTTTTAACGGTTACATTATGATTGGCTTGAAATCGTCGGCTATTTACTCGTAAAATTTATTACTCAATAAATTACATTCCATCAAAAAGCTCTAGTCAATTTGACGGCGTAAAATTAGACATTGCGATTTTAAATTATTCGTTCATCGAATAATTCCTATATGAGAATAATAATTAAACTGCGTACAACTGTGAAAAACTGCTGATTGATGATGATTGCGGAGATGAAGAACTTTAAAGGTACGTTGAGTCGATACCTTATAACGGTAAATCCGTTGAGGATGGTATTTTTTTTTTGTTATTCCAAGTTCGATTGAACGGGCTAAAAGGCTTTTGTAAGATGGCTATTTGACTAATCATTCGAACAACCATATCAAATATTTATCCATTTGCTCGGGGAAAATACGCGTTTTGAGGCAATAAACTTTTAAACGGGTTAATAAACCTATACAATACAAATTTGCACAATTAAAAACTACGAGTAAATTAAGCAAATAAACTAAGTAAATAATTCGTGTAAAATATATAGGGTGTTTCAGAAAAACACATGTTTAAATTTAGTAAAAATCAACACATACTTGTTCGTAATATAACAGAATGTTGAACGGATTAACCGTTAGAGTCATTTTATTAACAAAAATAAGTTTTATTTACATAATGGTTATTATAAAGCGAGTAGGCTCGGTTCGTAAATTGTAAAAAACTGCGGCTCTTTAACTCTTTACTGTTATTAGAAGATGCAGTTAATAAGTTTTTCCATCGTACGGTAATCAGCAAAAAAACGAGAATTATAGAGACAACCTTTAATCTACGATAGATGTTGATAATCGAAGAAATAATTGCTAATTTATTTACCCATAAATTATTTTTGTGGTAGAACTTAAAAAAAAATGTATGAACTTTAATTTTTTAGGTCTCAATTTTGGTTCAAGTGTACTGTAGACCTCAAAATCCCCAAAATGACGCATCTCCTGCACTAGAGTGAGTACTTCTAGAAATATACTTGAACGAATAGTTGCTGAAAATTATTTTGTCCTATTTAATATAGTATAACTGTTGAAATATTTCAGATATTTTTCAGCATCTCTTCGATACATACGTTGCTTGCACTGTGTTAATATTTACTAATAAACGCGATTGGTTTTTTAATTTTATTACACTTCGTTCTTCATGTAGAAAAACGGTTTATATCTTTCTCTGTACCTGTTGGTGACTGTTCAGAGTAGTGTAATTAGTGTAGTTAGAGAAGATTTTTAGAAGCACTACATTTTCCTTTTAGGGTAAGTTGTATAAGCCAATGTAAAATTAATAACAATTAACATCGTAGTAAGTAGGAGTAAGTAGGAGTAATTTTCGATAATTCTAACATTAAAGGGGTGATTTTTTAGGGCCAAAAATATTGAAAACATCCCCAAAATCGTCGAGAGCAAGACGCAGGAAATAATCGAGAAAATAGCAGAAGTGAACAAAAAGCACGGATTGGAACCGAAAAATCAGAAACCCAACGGTACTCAGAACTCCCTCAGCGTGGCGAGATCTCAGAATAACGTTCTTGCAAAAGAAACACCTCGCAGCGAATTCAGATTTCCAACCAATCCATTTTCGAACCCCATCTTGGAATTTTTGGAAAGAGAAAAAGTGGACAAACGACAGGCCATCGTTTCTCCACAACCTATGACTTACGCTATAGACAACAGGCAATCCCAAGACGTTTTACCATCGCAAGGTTTTGAAATAACCTCCACAAACCACCACGCCGACATTTCCCCGGAGGATTTAATCCCCGGGCAACAAGTGACGAGAAAAATCGTACACCAACAAACCGTATTAGTCCCGAATCCTTATTATGGACTATCAAATCAGTACTCTCAACCACTACCAGTCTATCCAAATTATCCACTGAACGAACAGCCCACTCAAGATAGAACGTATTTGAACAATCTGGAGAAACAAACTATCACAAACGTGAGAAACATTATAAGCAATTCACAGGCTCAAACTTATCCGACTTACTACGCCCCTATTCAAGGAAACCCTAACAACCAACCCTCTTACGGGTACATAATTCCTATAAGAAACACCCCCGGTCAGGAACCCTCCGGATTACTAACCCAATTACCTAGCGGTGCAATTCCATCTGGTAATCCGGAAACCGCCAGACAGAACTGGAATTGGCCAGGGGCGGATTACTTCCCGATATTCATCAAAGATCCTTTCCTTCAAATGTACAATGCCGTTACAACCATGGTAGAGTACGGTCCTAACGCTGGCAGTCAAAACCCTTGCTCGAGCGGCAACAGAAAACCGCCAAAACAAAAACTGAAAAACGACAATTTGCTCAGAGAAGGGAAAACATCGGAACAGGACACCAAAATAAGCGTAGAATTAGACGGAAAAGGAGGCTCACCGCAAATATCGATCAACGCTGATCACAAGAACGGAACCTACTTGGACATAGAAAACATAGACATCGGAGCGTACGGCGACAACAGCCTCAAGTTCACTTTAAACCTGAAGAACGAGAATCCCGAAACCAAAGAAGACGTCGGAACCGGCAGGACGTCCTGGGACAAAGTCAAAGTAGCCGGCAAATCCAACTCGTTGGTGTTGAATCCGGCGTACAATTCGTCCAGAACGAGCAGCAAATTCTCGGATTTCCAAAAGGAATTGAGACCGTTGAGCGTGATCAGGGGCTCGTTGCCTTCGAAACAAAGCTCCTCCTCGGCCATTCTATCGCCGCCTACCAGAGACCCCAGCCATCAAACCCATGAATTCGGCGACGAAAGCGAAGAGGAAAAGAGCGAGGAGCTGATATCCAACGACAACAACAAGAAACTCTTCAGCAGAGACAACACGGGAAGCGGAGTATTCATACACAAGCTGAAAGTGAGGAAAGGCGGCGTTGCCATTGCTGGTCCTGGAGGGATCGCGACGGCCGGAAGCGGCGGAACCGCCATTGTGGGGCCCGGCGGGATCGCCTACACTCAACCGGATAGTTTGGCAATCGCCGGTTCCGGTACTAAAGTCGTCGCAGTCGATCCTACTATCAATTTGGGGGAGCTGGCTAACAACACGAGTTTGCTGGCTAATAGAACTAGATATGATTTTCCGCCATCGCGGATTGGTAAAGTGGTAGCTGTAGGACCGGTTGTTTATTACAATAAGGGATAGTTGTTTTTTTTTTGGGGGAATTTTGAAGCTAGGTGTACAGGGGTAAAGGAAATGATTTTTTAAGGATTCGAATTGCTATTTCGGTCAGTAGGTAATGTTGAAGCGAAGAGTGTATCGAGGAAGAATATTTTTGTAACGACGAAAAATTGGATTAATCGAAACTAAAACAATTGGATTTATAGTTAGTATTATTTAGTTTAGGATGATTTTAACGAATCAAAATTTCTTTAATTTTTATGTGTACCTAATAATTGTAGACTGAATAAATTCTGTTAAAAACAATTAGGATTAAAAAATTAATATAACAAACTTTTTGACTGAAATAGATAAGTCTTCTTATTAAGTCTTTAAGTGGTTATTTTTTATACTTAATCTTTATGTAAACTAAATAAATGTATTTTTATATAAATATCTTAATTTTATTGTTTTATATCCTAAAACTACTACACATTTTTTAATACACCTACTAATTTTATCATTACATATCTACTCATAACATTAAATCGTTTCACAACATTAAAACCCATTTCATAAACTAAGATAAAACAACAACTTTTCAAATCACTAATTCATATTTCTTGAAACAACTCATCTTTAACAACATCGCTCAGTAGCTAAAACATCCATTTTCTTTCTCCAGATACTTAGTGAAAGGCATCCGCTTACCATTATGGTTACCTTACCCGCCTCCCGGATACTATGAGTCTGCTAGTAACACTCTAAACGCATACTATCCTCGAAACATTGCGCTTTATCCTCTTCCTATCGCATATCAACCATTCAAATCACCACCAGCGAAGGAAGAGAACCCGCCCATCGACAACACCATAACCCAGAGAACCGAAACTATCGAAGAAGCGCCCGACAACAGTAAACTTATCGCATCGAACCCTCCATCGTTGGCACCGTACAGGTTCCACCCGCTATTTAATTACTTGAAAAACGGTCACACCATCAGCAAAGACAACGTGATAAAATTCAGAGGCCCCGAAAGCGAAGAGAACAAAGATGTAACTACGTTGATTCTGAAACCTGTGGCGAGATCTGTTGCTGGGGTTGAGGGTAGGGCGATGGCTACGCCGGTTTCTAAGGCTATTTTAAGGAAAGGTATGAGCGTCGATATTCTCTTCGAGCCCGACGCCATCGCCATAGCCGGACCTGGAGGAATCGCTCACGCCGAAAGCGATTTGGAAATTAGTTATGAAGACGATTGATGAATTGTTCCTAGCGGTGTATTTAATAAGCGTTTTATATAAATAAAGAATTGTAGAATGTGTTAATTTCGATTAAAATTAGTGTAGCTTTTTGTTATATAGGCACATTTCATTAAGATAAGATAGTTTGTTAACTTATTGGTTTTGTAAATATGTAAATAAATAAAAATTTGAAACCATATTTATGATACCTTTTTTTTTCTATTATACAAAAACAGAATAGAACAGTTGACCAGGTGACCTTAATAAAATTCAGCCAATTGAACAGTTACTTGTACTTCTACATATGATTAATGATTAGGCGCATACAAACGTGCTGAATGCATTTCAATTCTTCTCACGAACCCACTACTAATCTACATAAACTTATACATAGAGGCCGCCTATGCTAATCTAGTCATGACGTCATGCTTAATCAATTATAATCATAATGCAAGAAGCATCACAAACACCACACGTACTAATATCTAATATCATTACTCAATTTTTAGACAACAAGACAAAATTACCATTTTACCGTTTTACGGAGGAGCAAAAGGCCAATCGCTGCAGATAATCGAAAAACCCGACGGATCCGTCACAACGAACATAATAAAAACCCCACCACAAACCGAGACCACCAATTTCGATAACGACGTGAACCCCATCGAGTGGGAGAATCCCCCTTTACCCACCAAATTCGACACGGAGGACTTCTCGGACAATCTGCGGAAGGTGCAAGGCCTGGCGGCGAAAATAATCAAGCTGCAGGAGAAGCTCAAAGAGACCGGCAGGCTTACATCCTCCGAAGAAGCCGCCTACAAGGAGAACATGGAGACTCTGAGCGAATCCGCTCAGAAACTCGCCGAATCCCAAGACGTCGGTGGTTCCATCGAAAACAGAGAAGGCATTAGCGCTTGGCTGGAAAACAGAAAGACCACGACCAGCAAAACCAAGCCGAAGAAGAAAGACGGAGACGACCAGAAGAAGAAAGTCGAGGAGGACAAGAAACGCAAAGCCCAAGAAGAGCAAAAGAAACGGGAGGAAGAGAAACGTAAGCAAGAAGAAATGGAATCGCAGAAGAAAAAAGCCGAAAAGGAAAAAGAGAACGAAGAGGAAAACCATAAAGGGGAAAAAGAGGAACAAGAAGGCGATAGCGAAACTATCGGCATCGAATTGCCTGCAGAGGATGCTTCAGTAGCTGAAGCTAAACCTATTGGACTTTCTGTAGCAGGTATAAAGAACTGTTAATAAACTATAATTAATAAATGAAAGTAATAAAGAATAAATTGCAGGTGTAGGTGGCGTAGCTTCGAGCAAACCCATAGCAACGGCTGTTGTGGGTCCTGGGGGGTTGGCTGTGGCGCGTCCAGTGGGTACTGCCATAGCAGGAGTGGATCCGGAGCAAGCTTTGATTCCGGTGTACGCAGGAGATTATGTCTTGGGCTCGAAACCGCCGAAGAACGGCAGCAGCGAGAAGGCCAATGAATTTTTGAGTAGAATAATCAGCAAATTTCATCAGATTTAGTTTCGAATGAAGTTTAGGTAGATACCTATCTATAATGATGTGTGTGATCGAACTGTTCCTCGATTCAATTTTGCCATAAATATATTTATTTGTAGTTTTGTTTTGAATTCAAGTTGGAATTGAATTTCTATTAGAGCTTTGTTTTGATCGAATAGAAGGTATGTAAGTGAATAAATTTAATGCGTATTTGCTATACAGAATGTTCAATTCGTGAAGAAAATCCTAAACTCCACTTTTCAGGAAACTTGGTAGGTATGTAGTTACACTTTAAGAGAATATTGCGTACCTGTTTAACATAAAATCAACTTTAAATAATTTCCTGAATATAAATGTAAGCAATTTCAATGAATTACCAGAGTTTAAGTAAAGCAATTTGTATTATTGTTTATTGTCGGCGTTGCAAAATATTACTTACTCAGATTCGTATCAAAATGTGTGGTACCTGCTAAGTTTCACTAAAATACAACCTGTAGTAATAACTTTTTGATTCGCATCAATAATAATGCTAAAAACTATTATAAGCAATCATTAGTAGTTAGGGAATTAGCTTGAGAAAATTGTTTTTGTTAATTCTAATGAATTCTAATTTTTTTAAGCTTGATGATTTTCTGATTATTTTGCTCTGAATAATTCAAAGATGATTTGGAAGAAAGGCGGTTTTATTAGGCGGTTGGGTGCGGTGAAAACGTGACGGGCAACTTGCACCTTGTGGTCGAGATAACAATAAAAATTAATGCAAAGGTGCAGGTAATCAACCAGTTAAAAAATGGAAAGTGATCTGACAGGTCTTGTTTGTTTAGCCGTTAATGGAAATCCGAGCTGGGGCTCCCGAAATTTACTTGCTTTTCGATCGCTTGAAAGCCTCTCGAAATAATTTGTTATTTGCGAAAATGTCGAAATGAAATTCGAGAGTTAAAAACAAATGTTGACTAGTTTTTTTTTTTGTTAAATGTTAACAACATTTATAAATCAATAGACGTTTGGGTCAAAAGTCGGTTTGAAATATCTAATTAAAACTAGATCAAATCTCTACACAAATCAAAAATTTCGAGACAATTAATTGTGCAATACTTGACAAAAAAAACCTTGACTCAATTAAGTTCTTGAAACCTCTAAAAACCATTTAACTGAATCACTAGATTACTTAATTTATATTCAACCGATGGATTGGAAAAACCGGTGCAAAATTCAACTGCCTAAAATACCTCCCACAAACTTTTTTTTTGGAAATCAATAATGGCTCACCCATTTCAACACCCACATATTTTACCTAACACACCATCGAAATTCTGCTTAAGTAGACTACGATGTTCGATTGTAGATTACCAGAAATGTTTTTTTTATAAATTTTTACATCATTTTGACCACTTGAAAAATTGTGGTGAAGAAGGATTAGTTTGACCAAAACTTTCTTCATTTTTCTAAATATACAAAATGCCCGATTGGTTAATTAATCACTATGATCATTGACCTTGCAATAAGCGTTTACGCGGAATTATAATGCCGAATTTCAACTTGTTATTCCGAGAATGTATTTCATTTAAAGGTAAGTATTTACTCTACAAATGTCCTGATTGCTTGCAGGTGTACATACAACCAAAAAAAAATATTTGTGGTAAATATTTTGACGAATCTTGTAGTTAGTGAGCCCACTCTGATGTTTCCAATTTTCAATTAACATTGTCTTATCGAGATTTGATGAAAAAATTCATATGCCAATGACTTGACATTTAATTATTGCTGGTATAATATAAGAGCTGTATTAAAAGACTGCTTATTGGAACAATAATAGGGATGTACCTACACTTTATACAAAGCACATAGCATATAAAATCTGAGATAATGCAATTTATTGCATTGAAAACCTGAATTAGGGCGTTAGAATGCACATTAAACCTAACTATTTCCAACAAATCTCCCTTATAAACCATCTCAATCCATAAGTAACTCTGCAATAAATCGTTTTAAGTGCAGGTTTGCATTATGCAACGCAAACAATGGTTTTCAGAACACCTCGAAGGAAAATCCGCGCACACGCGGGTTTTTCAGCGAAGATTTTTTTTTAATGCATTGTCAAAAAAATAATACGAAACGATTATTAATGCCGAATGACATTGATAATTCGTCCCCTCCCGCTGGCTTTTATAAGAGGTCGATGGTCCAATGCGGTCCTCTCTATAGTCTATAGTAGTAACGAAGGAGTCGTTTCTTATCTGGTTTATGGTATTGTGCGTTACACAGGGCGAACGCGAGGACCGGGTCTTGGAAGATTCCTATCAATTAATTGGTAAGCGGTTTTTATTTTTTTATTACTTTATGGCGTAACTAACGGTGAATTTTAAAAGTAGAGAGAAATTTACCAAAAATTGTCCAAAATCTTCAATCTGTAAGTAAGTCGAATTGTGTCGTAGTTTTTATTTAGCATAGACTCACTTCGCTGTAAATAGATAGAAATCTCAAATTTGAATTATTCATGTTATCTCAAATGAAATAATTTAGTCTAACCAGGCTTGTAGTAGACTATATTAATTTGTGAATTTAATAGCTTTAATTACATATTTTGCTGCAATTACTTATGGTTGAATTGATTACTTATAATTATATTTTTTTGCTAACTAGAATTAATCTATCTATATGTATTAATTTTATTAAGTAACAAATCCCTGAATAGCAATTATTTAGAAATTGCGGCGTTTAAAAAATTTATTTAAAAAAATTCAACACAAAATTGCAACTTTAACACTCTGTATTTCATAAAAAACAGACATTTTAAAGCTATTTAAAATTTTTAAATGCATTTATTTACAATTAAACAAATTTTTATATATTTAAAAATATTTACTATAATTACTGATCTTTCTTAACAATGTAAACATTGACTATAATTTCTGCGTTATCAATTACCTACCACTGTCAATTTTCCTCATCGTGGAGGTAATTATTCGGTAATTGCGAATTTCACCGTTAATTACCCTTATTCCCACAAAGCCGCCCTTGATGGAACAACACTAACATTGGTGATTTCCAATAATTAATGAAATTTACTCACGCAGGATGTCATTAAATTACAGTTTATCATCATCTAAAATCGCGTTTTACATAACAAAGATACGCACTCGGTTAAATACGTATTTGAAAGGATTAATTTCAGTAGATGCTACTATTTTTTATTACGCAATGCGATTTAATATTTGCAATTTTGTTCGATATTTAGATTGATGCACTTATGCACTTATAGGTACTTGAGAAAACAGTTTGTATTTATTAATTTATGTCACAAGTTTTTTATTTCAATTATTTTAGAAATTAATTAATAAAAAATAGTCTATGTAAAAAATAACTCAAATTAGGCGGAAATCATAAGTTAGAAAGAACTCATTGTAGACTTATGCTCACATAATTAAATAATTCCGCGAAAAAATGTTCTTGAATAATATGTCACAGAAGGTTGAATAAAAGTAAGCAGGGAATGGGAAAGTTCTATTCACAAAAATTAGAACCGAGCTATCGGAAAATACGCTATAACAACTCTATTCATAAAGTATGCAATTATTTATTTAGGTAGGTATTATAAAATTAATTATAAAATTTATTATTATTTGTAGCTGTTAAGCGTGACGACTAGGAATGAATGATCATTTCCTAGGTATTGTAAAAATTTATAAAAAAAATTTAAAACTTCTACTACTAATAATTCTACTACTAATTTAATACATTAGTGAAAAACCTTTTCAGAAAATGCTGCTCAAATTATCACTTATTCTGCACGTAGCCTTAGTGCTAGGCTTTCCCAAGGAAGCACCGGAGCCGATGAAGACTTCTGTGGAATCTTTAGAACCGGCCCAAAAGCCTTACTTTTACCTAACACAACAAAATGTGAATAATCCCCAGGCGGGAGATCAGCAAATGCTAAACGAAGAAAATCCAAAAGCTTCCTTTCCACCACAACAAGTACTTCAAATCCAACCAAACATGCCCAACGGTTACGGAGTGCAATATTTGGAGCCCCAGTTTCAGTATCCTGTATACAACCAACAGGCTTTTCCAAGGTAGGTACTAAAAACTATTTAAAAATCAGGTGGTTCAATTTATTAAGGGTAACTAGTTTCAGTATCTTTGTACACCGTCAGGCTTCTATACAAGTCTACTCTTTCTTGTACTGTAATATTGTATGATGGAGCGGAATTGTAATTTTCATTGGGTACTGCTCTATTATATTCTAGTAGTCTAGTACATTTCAAAACGAGCCGAGTAGTTACTAGAACGGAACGATCAAACACGACAACAGTTCCTTCGGTATACTGTATGGTCACTCACCCGTTTTACAATTTTTTTTTTCAAGAAAATTAATGACGAATAACAATTAATACGCCGACACAACAACGGGCAATTTCGTGTAGATATAAATATTTGTTCGAATTTGAACAAAAAAAAATCAAATTATTTGGTAACTTTTTTTTAAAAAACGACGGTAATTACTTGTAATTTGCAATGACATAGATTTTTAAATTTGTTTAATTAAATCGTTGCAAAATTTTTATTGCATCTAGTACTCGGTAATGCTAGAATAAAAGGAAATTAGTTTGCCTACTATACGATTCTATAAAAGATTTTTCTATTGGGAGATTAATTAAATATGCGCGGTTTCCTATCTAATTTCGACTTCTTTGTACCCAGCGTTGATTATTCAAGTGTATAATGGAATAGGTATTATGCATATGCACTTAGCAGGTATATTGGTCAATGACAATGATGATTATAAATTGTCTACGTTATTTGATTATTAATTATTATCTAGCGATAGCAATTTTGCAAGTCTTTGAAACGAATACTTTCGCTATTTGGATCATATTGTTAATTAAAGCGTTAATTTAAAGGGTTCAACCATCGATCTTAGTTTACGGAGCGGGCGGTCAAGGCCAACCGATACTCATTAATCCGGGTTCACCTCCGGGAAATTTCTTGGTTCCTCAACAACCGGGTACCAATGTCTTCATCCGGGGAAATCCGCAAACGCCCGTTTTCGTTGGGGGTTATCCCAACCCCAAACCAGCCCACATCCCGCCCATTGAGAAAGATGCCGAGGAAATTCCCACAAATCCTTCGAACATACCACCTTTGCAATCGACGGATCCCCAAGGTATGTACGACTTTTTTCCGATAATTATCTATTCATTTTTTAGGAGTTTCATATAAGTTATTTTTGGAAATGTATCAAAGGGTATTTTTCCCTTAAATCTAGCGATTAATAAATCGTGATAAAGTTATATTATGGACAGATTTTCCTTAACAGGAATGTCGTTTCTTGTTCAGGAAATAACTTTCATCAGTTTAATATTTTATCTGTTCAATTTTTAAGAAAGTAAAATGTTGTTATTCCACTTTAGAATTATGTAAGATACACTGGCAATTTTTATACTGTAACTGCAGATGTATTAAATTTAATCTTTTCATTCAACTTTTACTATATAGGGTGTACGCTACCCAAATTATGTGTGGTTTAGAAATGAGCACCTTGAAGTAATAAATTATTTATAAAAATTAACTATTAGATTACTACAGCACTAAAACTAGAATTATTGCATAGCCTAGAACTAAAATTAAACTTAAATTAAACTAAAAAAAGACCTTCAATTATAGGTAAGATAAAAAGTAATATGTATTCAATTTAAAAATCATATACTTTTACCTATATGAGTAGATAATTGGTAAGTAAGTACCTATTAAATAATGCCTACCTAGCTGTGTTTTAATTTACCGTTTTATTTACCTAATAATTTCTTTGTTTTAACAGTAAATACGCTAGCTTATAGGTATGTACTTAGTAAAATAATTGATGAATGACAATTATTTAACAAACTATTAAAACAATAAAGGATTATTGCATATCCTGCGACGCCATTCAAATTAAATAGAAAGTGTTATTAAATGTGTCCACATTTCCAATTTAACAAATTGTTTATGATTGCCGCTGTGTTGATAATGCATATAATAATTTTATTCTACATTCGATATGTGGGTAACACTAAACTAGTGTCTAGTGTGACACAATAGAACTGTGACCAAATAAAGGAGAAAAATAAACATTTTGCAATTACATACCAATAACAATTTAAATAAAAAATAGTGCATTTTCCCATCATTTTTGTGTGCCAAACGAATTATCACAGGAATAAATAATTTAACAAACTTATGGTCTAAAAAATAGCACTTAAATAGCACCAAAATATTTTTACAATTTTCAGAAAAAAGACCAGAAAAACTAGAAACCTTTACCGAAGATTACAAACCCGATCAGCCAATAACCAATCCATCGGGCGGATCCGACGGAACTCCCCGACCTTTAACCAGGAACGACCTGAGACCGGGCCACAGGTTCTTCATATTAAACGGAGAGCCCCTCTACCAAAACTACCCGATCAACTACCCGGGCGAACAGCAGGTCAACTTCCAGCAAATCGAACAGCCATTCCAGCAACGGTTGCAGGACAAACAGCCCCAGCAAGAGGTCAATTACAACGTACCCGTGCAAGGGTTCTTCCTGAGACAGGTGCCCAGCAACTTCAACGCCGTTCCGGTGGAAAATCCCGGCGATTTGAACCGGCCGAATCCGAACCAGAACGGGCCCCAATACACGCAAAGCTTCGTCCCGTTGGGTCCTCAAGCCTTCCAACAGGAGGATTTCAATCAGTTGAACATACCCCAAGAGGCTCTGTTTAGGCTTCCCATCGGCCAATTCCGGTTCGCCCCGCCTAACAACGCATACTTTCCCTATTCAGAAGATGCGGAAAACGATTCTGTCGTTGTAAATGCGAATTTCGAAGATCCTGGAGACTTGGGTTTGAGAGGATCTAACCAAGAGGGTGAGTTATCTCTCTAGTAACAAGTAGCTCTTCTAGTGCACAGTAGAATAAGCTTCGATTAGTAATGGTTTGATTATATTTTTATTAGATGTTTCATTACCAGTTGCAAAATCATCGGACGCTAGTACGGCTCAAGCGACACCGGGGGCGGTGGCTTTAGCGGGGCCAGGTGGAATGGCGGGTGCAGCCCCCAAGGCTACTGCTCTGGCTGGTAAAGGAGGATTGGCCATATCCAGTCCAAAAGCGACGGCGATTGCAGGTACTAAAGAAGAACGGAAAGAAGCAAAAGACGAGGAGAAGGAGAAAGAGAAGAAACCGACGCGAAAACCTAAATGAGTTGTGATAGTATTGAGTTGTTTTTTTTTTGTAACGTAGAGAGTAATTTTTAGGGTTTTAACGAATATAAGTTAAGTGGTAGTGAAAGAAATTTATGAAACATATCACCAACTGTTACACACAGAAAAGAATAAAAGTTATTTGTACCGATATCATGTTTTTATTTGTTAAATACTTGTAGTAAAGCAATTTACTATCAGGTGTAGGAGCAGATTGAAGATATAAAATGGAAACATTTCCAATAAATGGAGAGTTCAAAATTTGAATAAAACCAAACAAAACCCGACGAAAATCAAGTTGACCGAATACCCTAAGTAGCTCAAGTCTCGATATTACGAAGAAGATAAATTGACATTGACATCTAGTGTCAATGTCAGGGAAACGTCATTTTGATTTTTAATCAAACTTTTTAAATATTTATTATACCTTAATTATATCGTATTAAACGTATTAATTGATATCTTTGTTGAACAATATCACAGGTAAAGTTTAAGCCACTTTTACATTGATTTCAGTTTCATTTCGAATTCGTTTTAGAAATGGGGGTGAAAGGTTTGACGACGTTTATCAAAAATAAAAAAGACTTTTGTATGGAAACCTACGAATTACACGACACAAGTGTTGTAATAGACGGAGACGCGGTGCTTTGTCAGCTCTATTTGAACCATACATTTCCTTCTAATACTTGTTTCGGAGGCGATTATGACATTTACGGCAACGCGATATTCAAATTTTTCCGTATGCTTTTCCAATGCAAAATAAAGCCTTATATAATTCTCGATGGTGGTTACGAAAGCCGCAAAATGGAGCGTATTTATAGCAGGTTCAAGGAAAGAGTACAAGACTTGCAACGAGTAGTCGCCAGTAAACACGAAACGAACAAAATCATTCCCCTTTTCATCAGGGAGGCTTTCGAAGACATCGCCTTGAAGCTGGGCATTAACGTAATTAGATGCGATTTCGAAGGCGATAGGGAGACGGCTAACATTGCGAAAACTCTGAAATGTCCCGTTATAAGCAACGATTCGGATTTCTACATTTACGATATCCCGTACATCCCTTTCCCGAGTGTTGTTATGGAAGTTAAAACGGGCTTCTTCGTAGATCCAGGCACTCAACAAAGGTCGACATACCGATACATCCCCTGTGAAATATACAGGGTGGATAAATTCTTGAGTTGTGTAGGAGGCATGAACAAAGAGAACTTACCGATATTCGCAGCTCTCGTAGGAAACGATTTTATGGACGGAATCGACTTGAGAAAATTGGGTATATATAAAAGAAGCAACAACTTTTTAATCAAAATAGAAACTATAATAAACTGGTTGCGGAAAGAAACGAAAGACAGCGCTATCGATAAAGTTTTGAATAGTTACGATCCCGAAAGTAGAGCAGGCGTATTTAAAAAAATCGAAGATGCCATTAACGGTTACAGTTACAGAGATAGTAAATACTTGAAGTATCTGGGTATAGAAGTGGATAGTAGTTCGGAATACGTGGAAGATGAGTACAATAGTTACGAAAAAATGACGCAGTCTTTTCCGAAGCCCTTTATCGAGAATTTTAGGAAGTCCCTTTACCCAACTAGATTCATGGATATTTTGACGCAAAATAAATACTACAATTTCAAACCACAAGTGGAAGTGACGCAATTCGAGCAGGCCCATGCAGTCAGTTTCGAAATAATATCGGCTGTGCATAAAATATTAATGGGAGATTCGCCTAATTTAGTTTGTTTAATTAGGTCTGGCAGTAATGCTGTTGATCACGAGTTGCCACTGTGCGAAATCGATCTTCCTTCTTTAGTGGAAATTCAAACATTAGACTTGGAAAGTAGGAAGAATGTGATTCACAGGATATTAAGGATCGATGAAAGTTTTATTTCAAATTCATTACGCTTCTTTCCAGAATCTTGGCATTTAGTTGTCCTGACGGTAAAATACATGTTGAACAAATCCTTGTTAACAGAACCTGTGGCTTATTCAGTAATTTTATGCAAATTGGTTATCGATTTCATTGACCCGAAAATCGGATTTTTTAGGACTACTGGTGCATTTAATAAAGAGTATAGCGCAAAAATAAAAACTATAACTCCTCGTAAGATCGAAACGAATAAATTTAACAATTTAAAAAGTGCCTTGGATAATATAACCGATGAAGATTCTCTCTTAGCTCTCAATCATTTGATAGCTTTTTTTGCATTCGATAGGCATCTAGAGAAAGATTCGAATTTGTTCGATAAAAAACTAATGCATCAATTGTCGCAATTTCAAAGTTGCCTTCTTCACGTAAAGGGTTTAAATCAATTGGTAAATATGGCATATCTCGATTTTTTTATAACCGAATGTTACAACGGTACGTTTGTCTATAATATGTCTAAAAATTTGGGAAAAAGGGATGATGTAGATAATTATATGCAATATTTGTTAAGAAAAACGCCACTTTTTCTGTATTGTTTCGATTCGATAATTAAGCTAATAAAAGGAGAAATGGCTAAGAATAATTAGTTTTTTTTTATATGTTTACTTATTTAGATTTTATATTTAATATTTGTAGAACAAATAAATTTATTTCTGTAATTATTTAGTGATATAATGTAAACATGTTTTTCTTTCTGAATATGAATTCACAATGCTTATTTAAATCTTTCTGTGTTGTTTCTTTTGTACTACATTCAATAATAAAAGATGAAAATTAAACAAACTTGGAAAACATATATTTATAAAATCAACGATTTACAAAGCACTTTTTCTAATTATTTCTAAGTACACTAAATAAATTGTTGGGATCGAACGAAGCCTCATCATCTGAATTTAATTCAAGATCGTCAATATTCATTATATCGTCAATATTTTCCGGTTGATCCTCCCTTTTCTTTCTCTTTTTCCTTCTTTTCTTAGCAGTCGCTTGGGAATAAGTCTCGAAAGTTATGTTACTAGTGATACTATTTATAATTACTTGGTAACAGTGCTGAAAACTTGGCGCGTCTTTCAACAAAACTTTAATGTATTCGTTTATATTAGTCCTTTTAGACAAATTGACGGAAAAATTATAAACGAACGTGCAGTTCAATAAATCTTGGACAAAAAGCCTGGGAAACGGAAATTCGAAAAGTGTATTTAGGTAATTAATGTGCAATAAGCAGCTTTGAAACTGCGAAATCGAATGAACTAATTGCCTGTCAAAAGCTTTATAATTTGCGGTCAATTTGGAATTCTTTTCGAAATAACTTACTAAAGCATTCATACAACTAACAGTATCATTTCTCGATATGTTATCCACAGCAGTTTGAATATCAATAGTATTTAATTCTCCATTGTTCGGATTAGGAGTACTTTTGTGAACGTTTAACAAAGATTCGAATTTTTTATTAAAAGTTTTACTAGATCGGTAAGATCCAATTTTCTTGTCTACATAACTCAAAATTAACTTGCACATTATCAGAGAATATATCAAAGGCAAATAAGTGCAACTCTTTTTTGAGTAAAAACAAATCGTTAAAATGAAAATGTGCCAAGAGTCCGGAAATGAATTCAACCAATTTAAGTCGATAGAAATATCTAAAATTTTACAAAACCAATCGATTTTACAAGCTTCGGACATGGAATATATTTCGTTGTAAGAGGGTAGAAACATATCGCACAATGGAATCGTATATTTTCCCACATTCTCCGTATTTTTTCTTCCGATGCATATTAAATTCTCCTTTTTGTTGCACAGAATTTTATGAATAGCACCTAAAATATCAAAAGTAATTACATGTGAATTTTCTAATGCAACATTCTCGACTTGAGGCACACAATAGTATCTGTTTCGCACTAAAATATCCATAAATGACGCTGGATAAATGCAACGTCTAAATTTGTCTTGAAACTTGGAAGGTATATTAACATTTTCATCTTCCTCTGATGAAACATCATCGTCTTGATCTTGGTGTGCATCGTTGTTTTCGATTTCTTCATCTTCATCGGGAATATCGATGCTTAATAAATCAACTTTATGTTTGGACGGGCCTGCTTTTGGGACATTTACATCTAAATAACGCATGTACCTGCTCTCGTACGAATTATAACCATTTATAGCAACATTTATTTTCTTCAAAATTTTCTGTCTTTTGGCTTTACAGTATCTCCCGAGCACTTTCGACAAGGCACTTTCGATCGTCTCGTTCTGCAGCCAAGTTAAAAGCGACTTTATTACTTTCTGTTGATTCGATTCGCTTCCACGGCATGTCTGCATTTTTAAATTTTGATAAAACACTGCAAAAACGCTTCTCTTTACGTAATCGTTGCCTAAAAGTACAGCCAATATTGGCAAACAGCTCTTCTGTAATCCAGGGAACGATTTCAAAAACTTGTCAACTTTATAAACTTTACAGCTGATATACTTGTAGGCTACATCAGATTCATCATTAGCCGACTTTACGCTTATTTCGAAATACGAAAAAGGAATATATAAGGCATCGAATATGAAAAAATCGGAATCGTAACTCAAAATCGGACAGTCCAAAGCTTTCGCAATGTTCGTAATTTCCGTATCGCCTTCGAAATCACACCTGACGCTTTTAATTCCTCTCTGTTCGACCACATCTTCGAATACATGCCTTTGGAACAACGGAAATACAGAAAAACTATTGGTGGGATTTAACTGATTGGCGGCTTTTATTCTGTTCTTCATTCGACTGTTAATCGTGTGGACTTTTTTCGTTTCGTAGCCCCCATCGTATACAATCAGTGGTGTAATGTTACATCGTTGAAGGGTATTGAAGAAGTTGTTGATGATTCCCGCGAATCTGTCGTAGTCGCCGCCAAAGGAATCGTTTAAGGACTTGTTGTGGCGCCGATAAAGCTGACAGGCGATTGAATTCCCATCTATAACGAGGTTTGTATCGTGAAGCTGGTAATTTTCCAAGTAGAAGTGAGACCTATTCTCGATGAATGTTGTTAAACCTCTTATGCCCATTTTGGTGGATATTCTTCTAATTATGGGTTTATTTTAAATAGCATAATTTTTATTAATTAAACTCACGTACGATCGGACACACGGTTTTATCAGACATTTTTTTATTTAAAAGAATTAGTTTTTAGGTTATTTTTTTGTAATTTGAATTTGTGTGTTCTATGTCAGTTGTCATGTCAACTTCATGAATCTTTTTCTTCTTTTTGGCCGAATAGCCCTGGCAGCTGAGGCCAAGAATTTATGAAGAAGAAATTTTTCCTCTTTTGCATCAGCCCAGCCACGGCCGAACGTGACAAACTAACGTACCTTATATGTCAAGAAATGTCATTTCCCTCTTTTTTTATAAGTTAAAAATGTAAAATGTCAATAAACAAAATGGAAGTGTGATAAAAAAAGTTTAAGGCGACCATTAAAAATTTATTTGTTTAATTTCATTAGTAGTATGTCCGTATAAACGCTTAAATTACAATGGATATTCTTCCAGGTACTCTTTAATTGATATGTGTGAGAATCACTGCACGTTTCGATGATATTAGATCCCCTCCTTTAACTATTGAATGTACTTTAGATTAGGATATGGGTAATAACCTTTTAATATTTTATTAGTAAACAGTTCCATTTAACTCGCCGATAGAACGACAACATTGAATAATAGTGCATTTGATTAGATTTTAAAATGTTACCTTCGGTTCCAGAAGGGGTAAATGCTTCGTTTAAAAAGGGCCCAGGCCTCTACGAGTTCCTCATAGAAGCGGAACTACAGCAATACTTTAATAGTTTTAAGTAAGTATTTTATTTAATATTTTATCTTTTTGTCATACATTCGTTACATTTTATTTTTAGGAACACTCTAAAAATTACTCATCCCTCACAATTAAAATTCACAACGGAAGGAGATTTGATTGAGATAGGAATGTCTAAGCCCGAGATGAGGAGGCTTAGGAAGTACTACGAGAAGCATTTTCCTCATAATTACTTATCCAAGTTTAAAAAACTGTTAACGCACAGGAAGCAAGAAAATGCCGTAAATGATGTCGCACTTCTTACCAATACGGATTCCATGACTCTTTCTAAAGCACCTAGAGTTTCTAGCAAGCACATCATACCCTCTTCTAGTATTACAATTAACAAGGAATTGGGAATGGGAGAGTTTGGTGTTGTTCAACAGGGCGTTTGGTGTAACGAAGGGGAAAGAATACAAGTAAGTTTATTTTATCTTTATTACCTACAAACGTACAGATTTTATGTTTAATAATACGTAGATGAAAAGTATACGGATACGTCGGAATTTTGAATAAATTTACATAAAATGTAGATTAAAAAATTATGCGAATTGTTTTATTTTTAATAAATTATCTCATTTGCTTTCTCCTAATTAATTTTAACTATTTAATTCTTTTTTATTGTCTGTGCATAGCACACATGGTTTCGAAAAGTTATTTAAAAAAAATGTATTCTTCGAAATGTTATTACTTTATTAAAATCGTTAACATTCAGTTTAAGGAAAGAATTAACGAAAAGCGTGTTATATTTAATAATAAACTAACTTAGATTTTTTTATTCCGATTGTAACATAATATTGCAGTCAAATTATAAACTACGACTGTTTGTATTACACATAATTGTTTAAAAATTACGTTTCAAAGGTAATTATGCGATAAAAAAGTTCATCGATGGTCAAGGTTACAAAAAGTTGTACAACATTCGTTATTTTTAATCTACCAATTTAGTATATCCGCATCTATACACGCTTATTATCTATAAAAATTGAATTGTTTATTTTTTAATCCAAAATTCACTTATAATATATTTTTTCAAATAAACAGGAAATCAGTCAAACGAGAAATTGTTCTCGAATTAATTAGCTTGTGTAAGATTCCTTTATTTATTCCTATAGCATTGAATAACAACTATTTTTTTTATCAAAACACAAACATTAACACTTGCAAGACTTTTATTTATGTATGTACAACCTGTCGACGATTCATACTTGTGTGAAATTTTTTGAATTAATATGTTGATTGTTTTCTATAATAGGCCCCTTCAAAAGCAAACACAAAGTGTCTCAAACTCACACTAATCATTGATTATGAAATGTCGCAACTTGTATTAGTAATAAATAGCTACTTTATCAACTTATTGTTCGAATTAAAAAAAACAAAAAAGATTTTATCCAGATTTATTAAACATTTTAGTTTTTAGGATTGTAGAATTCTTTATATCGCAAAGAAATTTGCTCTTATTTACTTTACCGATATATTTTAGGTTGCAATAAAGTGCCTATCACGAGATAGGATGCAAAGCAACATGGTCGAATTTCTAAAAGAGGCATCGATAATGCACAACATAGACCATCCAAATATTGTACGTTTCTTTGGTGTGGTATTACCGAATATCGATGGTAGTTTGATGTTGGTAACCGAATTGGCCCCATTGAGATCTCTTTTAGAATGCCTTAAAGAACCGTCGTTGCGGTCCAGTTTTCCTGTTCTCACCCTCTGTGATTTTGCCTATCAGATTTGTGACGGTATGCAATATTTGGAAGCCAACAGACTGATTCATAGGTAAGTTTATTTAAAAAAAAAAAATTGTCAGGTTTTCTCTTCAAGTACATATATGAACGTTTTCGCAGAGATTTAGCCGCCCGCAATATTCTTGTATTCTCTAAAAATAAGGTAAAAATATCGGATTTCGGCCTAAGTCGGGCCCTCGGTCAGGGCAAGGATTATTACCAGACGAATTTCAACGTCAATTTGAAACTGCCTATTGCCTGGTGCGCACCGGAATGTATCAGTTACTTGCGATTTACAACGGCTAGTGACGTTTGGGCGTTCGGGGTCACCCTATGGGAAATGTTTTCCTACGGTTTTCAACCTTGGGCCGCCCTGACGGGACAACAGATATTAGAAGCGATAGACGAACCGAATTTCCAAAGGTAATTACCAAACAATAACCGCGCACTCTATACAATAAAACACCTCGACTTATCGTAAATTAATAATCCCGTAGATTAGAACAGCCGGACTGTTGCCCGTTGGATCATTACAATTTAATGTTGGATTGCTGGAAGCACGAGGCCGCTTCGAGGCCCCGTTTCGCCGATATCGGTCCCATTCTTGCCGAATCTCGACCCGAACAAGTTCAGGCCAAGGTATCATCTAACGATGGTTCTCATTTTTTAAACTACAGGGTAGGAGATGTGATAACTGTATTAGATAAGAAGTAAGTACATTCGGTGCGTATCGATTCGTCGAAATAATACATTTGTGGTGTTGTTACCAGAAATAATCAACCTCTTTGGAAAGGCGCCACCGCCGGCGGTAAAACGGGTTTATTCGATCCCGTCAATGTCGTTGCTTATTTGGGTAGCGATTTGCCCAGTTCTTCTTTTCTGCGTTCCGACAGCACCAGATCGTCGGCTCGCAGGAAATTGCGCAGCGAAATGATTAGCGCTCCGCAGGGCGATTTCAAACACACGGGTCACGTTGGATTAGACGGTGCTTATTTCGGCGATCTCAGTTGGATGGACGGCTCAAAAGGAAACGTAAGTTTAATCATTTTTGACGCTTTATCGCGGTTTATTCAACGAAAAACGTTTTATTTATTTTTTTTTATTTTTTTTATTAGTACGGAACACTTCCGACTCAAGTGGTGGCGCCGTACCGGCCGCACAAAGACCTCGAAGCCGCCCCTCTATTGGAGAGCGATCTCGTACCGGCTCCGGCGCCGGCGCCGTTACAAGATCACGAATACCACGAGATCAGCGACGAGGAGAATCCGAACAGTCCCGGCTTGGATTTGGGACCATCGTTGATGGCCGAAATGGAGATGATGTTTAGCTCGTTGGGCGCCCAAAATCATTCGCTCGACGCTCACGACGGTTCAAATAGGAGCAACGAGTTGCGCGAGAAATTGAACAAACCGAGGAAACAGGCGACGGTCAAACCGATATCGGCGCACGATCAGAAAACTTTGGATACCGCGATCGCTTTCGCTAATGAAATTACTTCGAGGTGTGTTTGTAATGATCGTTTCGATTGTGATTTTTCTTTCATATTTCGCAAAAATATCCTGCTAATAATAACTGTTCTGTAATTATTCTTTTAGATCGATGTCGGCGCCACCGCCTATTACACCGGCATCTCCGAATAAGAAGAAATTTAGCTTTAAATTCCCATCGGTGCACGAGCATGATAAGCACAACGAGAGGAGGAATTTCTCGGAGGAAGCTTTGTCTACGTCTGATTTACAGGTAATTGATTATTGAAGTACATAATGCGATAACAAAGTTACTTATAATTTACGAGGTTTGGCGTACTTATTACAATGGTTTATAAAACAAACAAATCTTTAGGATTTAGTAGTTCATAAATCTATAAATTCTCAGTAAAGTATATTACTGAGAAACTAGTATTTTACTGTGTTCGATTGTTACGTCGATAAGTAATAAGTATGAAGAAACCTCATCGGATAAATGTATTTTACACAAAATATCACATACTAACACGAGAAATTTTTTCTGTCCCCCGTCCCTTTCCGTCGTCCCGATTTGTTTTTGTTGTTTTTTTTTTGTTTTTTTTTTGTACTCTCTCATTCGGCGTACGTAGAAATTCACGAGTTCGCCCTCGTCCCTCGACGAGCTACCCAATCAAACCCTTCGACTTCCTTTATGGGACAAAGCGTCGGCCGAATTCTATTTCGCCAAATCCCGCGAGTTGTTAAGCCGTCCGTTCCCTTCTTCACGACCTCCGCACAATTCCTGTCGCAATTTAAACACGTTCGTCGATCGTTACGCGGACGAATTCGGTTTATCGGGCGCGTTTCGTCACAACGCCTCGTTCGAGGAGGGTTATTACCGCCCTCGGGCGCATTACAGAGATCGAACGTTGACCAAATCGGAGAGTATGAGTCGCAAAACGTACGGCGATCGGCGTTACCGGAACTTCGTCCCGTCCGAACCCGTCCCGCCGCCGCCGCCGCCACCGCCTCCTCCTTACTACGAAACCTCGTACGTGTACTACAAGAACGAATACGCGCCGCCGCCGCCGCCTCCGCGACCGCGCACTCTCAGCTTCAGCGACGTCCAAGAAACGTCGAAGAAACGCAACGGGCGCAGCATCAAAGATCGTAATCGACGACGTCGATCTTACAATCCGAGAGCTTACGATACGAGTTCGAGCGATAGCGAATGCACGAGCGTCGGCAGCGCCGCCGACGTCGAATGGCGTCGAAAAAGGAGATTATCGAAAATGTCCGGATCGAATGCGAGCATCAGATCGGAGATGCCTCCGACGTCGAATAATCCGTTTTTGAAGCCCAATTTCAATGCGAAAATGATGGGACGTTCGCCGCCTCCGAGTAATAGCGTTTTGAGCGGTTTATCGCCGACGTCGGTTGCTCGATGTCAGAGATCGACGAATTCGAGCAGTTCGGATTCGAGTTTGTGAAATAAATGTCCTGTTTAGAGATTGAATCGAGAGGATATAACTACGTACATAGTTTGATACGCGCGATTTTTTGAATTTTGTACCGGATAACGAGATGCATATATTTTCTTCAATATTTGTAGATGTATAGTAATGATTCGTAGTAGCATAGAAAAAGTGATAAATTTGTCTTGGTTGTTCGGGAAATAGAGGTATCTGAAATGGAGTTTCTTACAAGAAATTTGATAATTTTTGAATCAAAACTACCCAACTCTCTGTTGTTCTTCCTCTATTTCCTGTATTGCCAATTTTTATCTACTTATCATTCTATCTATTTAAACTCGTAATGCTCGATAGAAACCAAAATTTTAGTTAGTTCATTGAAATTCGTTGTTGGCAATCAATACCGCTTAACAATCAACTAAACTACAATCTACATTTACAAATTGTTCAATACGAATCAATCTCCCTTTCCTATATTAAATGCGACCAACTCCAATATTAAAATAATTACTTTACCATCTTTTTATGCTATTAAAAACGAACAGACCAGCTGGAAAACTTAACGCTAAACTGCCCGCGAATTGTACCTTTTTTTTTTACATTCCCCGTCTCGCCCCTTCATTCACACGTTTCATCTCAACCCAGTTATTATTATTATTTTTTCATTTTTGTTTTGTTTCTTCTTTATTGGTTATTTTTCCCTTTAGTCCAAAGTTACGCAAGAGGCGCAATTGGCTTACGAAGGACTCGTGGAAAGCCCGGCACACGACGTTACCCAAGTAAGTATTATTTATCTACTCTTTATTTATTTATTTCGTTTACAGATGAAAATAGGTTCATATGAAGTTTTTTTTTTCTTAAAATGAACCAAAAAAATTATCCACTTTAGTATTAGCACGTTATTAAAAACGAACCCTGTATATATATATATATATATATATATATATATATATTTTTTGTAGTTGATCGGTACGAATCCTTTGCGAATACTTCGATCAGGACAACCGGTAATAAACGCCCGAACTAGATCATCGAGCTTAGCAAGCACCCTACCACCTAAAATGGGCGTTTTAAGTCGAAGTTCAATACCGGATAATCTTAATGGTAAACAAGGTAACTAATTAATTGATTAACTAACCAAATTTCCAACTCGTTTGATACGAATTTTTTTATGATAGAATTTTCGACGTTACCTCGTCAACGACCGCCCTCACATTCATCAAATTCATCGATAAACGGCGCCGCCCAAAAGGATGAGAATCCGATTCCTTTACCGCCACGCGATAAAAACAAAGCCCTTTTGGCCGCCAAACCGCGTCACACTCGAAAACATCCTCTCATAATTCCACCCACCAGTCTACAGAGGACCCTTGATAAAGTGAATACCGTTTCTCCGCCGCCTCCATCATCAGGCGAGACGCCGTTCGATCGATCGGAGCCGGTCTACACCAATCACATGGTCAACGCGGGGGCGGGGGCGGCGGCGGCGGCGGCGAAAAATCCCGAATCGTTGCACTTCGAAGATGAGATCGAATCGAATCTGAACGCTCTGGATCAAATACCGATCGATCACGAAGACGTCGTCGACGGTAATTAAGCCTCGACAGTTTTAATAAGATTTTTTTTTTGTAATTTACGCTATATTAAAAATTACAGGCGACGATAGTTTCGCGGGATTGAAAAGCGATGAGGAAAAGATGCACAGCCATCACGTGAGTTGCGAAGATCTGTTGAAATTTGCGAATTCGAAACCGCCTTCGAGGACGAGAGGAAACGATTCCGACGAAGTGAGGATCATGTCGAAGGTGTTAGGGAAAGATGTAAGTACTTGAATGAGAAGGATGGGTTATATTATATATACAGGGCGAATGATAAAAAATGTTGTTTTAATCGATTCAGGTTACAACGGAGAAATGCTTGCAAGCCCTCGACCAATCCGATTGGGACGTGATGAAAGCTATAAAAATTCTCAAACTTCAAAACGTGGTAAACGCCGATTTGTCCAAATGTTTCAGAGGTTTGGAGCACACCTCTTGGGATATAACGAAGGCGGCACAATGGATTCTCCAGCAAGACGGAGAGGTTACTCAAGTTTAAACTTGTCTTATTCGGGAAGATTATAATGTAGAATTGAATTTTTTTTGGTTTTGATATTATTATGGATGTGTGTGTGTGTGTTTAAAGTCTTTCCGAGTCGAAAAGCGATGGTATTCTAAAACCTTTGTTAAACGTGCTTTAAGTATTTATTTTTAAGCGTAATGTTTGTTGTTGGCATTTATAAATAAGTTCCTATTTGCAATATGTATACGGTCTGAAATTAATGAATTAAGCTAAAAAACCATTTTGAATTGGGTATAAATTGTATTCAATTTTAATTCATATTCAATTCTACTTTTTTTTAAATATTATTGTTGTTATTTTTCAAGCTCTTCTGGCCATTTAAAAGAGGTTATTCTTATTTCTATTAAATATCAGATTTTGTACATTGCAGTTACTGTACTTAGTATTACTTTAAAACAGGGTAAAAAAACTTGCATTTATCATTAATTTCGTGCCATAAAATCGATCTGTAATTCGTTTTACAAAGGTTTTAGATGGAATAAAACTATCTCGTATGAGTATCCCGGTTTGGTTGTAATGGAAAAACGTACTGCACTGTTCAGTGCCTAAGGTTTCATATCAATTAATAATTAATTTAAAAAAACAATTACTGGCTGAGATGAATGACACTGAAATAATGCACTTTGTATTCTCTTTTTGTGCTAAGACCTATTTCTTTTTGCGAAAAAGTTGTTTATTCGAATGATTTTATAGTTTTAATGATTTAACGCGAGTTGGAAATGATATCAGGATTGTTTCCTATATTTATTTTTGTGTTGTTTTCCTAAATGACTTTTTTATGCGGATGAAGAGCTCAATAGATAAACTTTTTTTTGTTATCAGAAAAAAAATTAAAAAGAATATACGTACATACATATGGTAACAGGTGATATAATTTTTGTCAATTAATGCCTGTGCAATGTTTTTTTATTAAGGTGATTTAATTTTTATATTATTTTTTTTGGAAATTTCTGGAACTATACAGAATTTTATATTATTTTGTTAAGTATTATTTTGGAGTATTTTAATTTAGTTGTTGCGTTCCATTATATTCGAAATATTTTTGTTTATATGTTTAAAAAATTTTTACATCGCTTATACATTTAGAAATAAATATCTTATGGGCTTTTTGTAATATCTTCAAATAACAATATTGTTTTCTCAGTTTCCAGTGTATTTAATAATTGATAGGTTGTGTTGATTTATTTCAATTGAATTTTTTTTATTTATCTTGCCTATATCAAATTTATATGTAATACCATTTTTAATGTTACATGCTAACAAATTTATATGAATAAAATTTTATATTATACAACAAAAAAAATACATTTAATCTTACAAAATAATCAAACAATCCACTTTTTCCTCCACGTTCAAATCCTCCTTACACGCGTACAGATCATTCCTCGTTTCCCTAACGCGTTCCACGTAAGGCCTCCTATACTCCTCCACCAGGATATCCTTCGAACAAGTTCGATCTTCACCCCAGGGGTACCCCCACTTCCCCATCTCGGGAAACGAATCATCGGCTCGTTCCGGCCAATTCAACGAGGGCTCCTCGACGATGACGTTCAACAAGGCGACCCGATTGGCCCCACTTTTTGTTCTCTCTAAGTTACTGAAGGTACTCAGTGAGTATCTAATTGATATTTTTACACATCGATGTACAACAAGCAATAATAATTATAATAAATTTGAGTCATCTATGAAGAATATTTTAAGCAAAGATTTTTATAATTGGCCTCTTACTAGATGAATTGTGAGATAAAATGTAGTACAGGTTTGTTTAAGGACATGTTAAATATACAAAAAGAAATGTCCCAAAGCCGACCCTGCCGTTCGTCGGGCAATTTGACTCCTGCTCGTGCTCCACTTGATATATTATGAAGGCTATATTATGCATATGATTAGCTTTTTGTCTTACTTACATTTTTTTATTTTCGGTATAACTCGATAACTACTGTTCTTAGAAACGTGCGGTTTGTTTTGTTTGATGTAGAAACATATTCTACACGTGATGGAAAAAATTGAAAAAAATCGTTGAAAAAAATTTCGAAAGAACTAAAAAAAACTAAAAAACCAAAAGAAACTTTAAAAAACCAGAATCTAGTAATATATCACCAGAATCTAGTGATATATCACCAGAATCTAGTAATATATCACCAGAATCTAGTGATAAATCACCAGAATTAAGTAAAAAATCACCAGAATCTAGTGACAAATCACCAGAATCTAGTAATAAATCACCAGAATCTAGTGATAAATCACCAGAATTTAGTAAAAAATCACCAGAATCTAGTGACAAATCACCAGAATCTAGTAATAAATCACCAGAATCTAGTGATAAATCACCAGAATTTAGTAAAAAAATCTACAGAATCTAGTGACAAATCACCAGAATCTAGTAATAAATCATCAGAATCTAGTGACAAATCACCAGAATCTAGTGATAAATCACCAGAATCTAGTGATAAATCACCAGAATCTAGTGATAAATCACCAGAATCTAGTGATAAATCACCAGAATCTAGTAATATATCACCAGAATCTAGTGATAAATCACCAGAATTTAGTAAAAAATCACCAGAATCTAGTGACAAATCACCAGAATCTAGTAATAAATCACCAGAATCTAGTGATAAATCACCAGAATTTAGTAAAAAAATCTACAGAATCTAGTGACAAATCACCAGAATCTAGTAATAAATCATCAGAATCTAGTGACAAATCACCAGAATCTAGTGATAAATCACCAGAGTCTAGTGATAAATCACCAGAATCTAGTAATATATCACCAGAATCTAGTGATAAATCACCAGAATTTAGTAAAAAATCACCAGAATTTAGTGACAAATCACCAGAATCTAGTAATAAATCACCAGAATTTAGTAAAAAAATCACCAGAATCTAGTGATATATCTCCAGAACCTAGTAACAAATCACCAGAATCTAGTGATAAATCACCAGAATTTAGTAATAAATCACCAGAATCTAGTGATAAATCACCAGAATTTAGTAAAAAATCACCAGAATCTAGTGATATATCTCCAGAACCTAGTAACAAATCACCAGAATCTAGTGATATATCACCAGAATCTAGTGATATATCACCAGAACCTAGTAACAAATCACCAGAATCTAGTGATAAATCACCAGAATTTAGTAAAAAAATCACCAGAATCTAGTGATATATCACCAGAGACTAGTAATAAATCACTAGAATCTAGTGATAAATCACCAGAATTTAGTAATAAATTACCAGAATCTAGTGATAAATCACCAGAATTTAGTAAAAAATCACCAGAATCTAGTGATATATCTCCAGAACCTAGTAACAAATCACCAGAATCTAGTGATATATCACCAGAATCTAGTGATTTATCACCAGAATATAGTAATAAATCACCAGAATTTAGTGATTTATCACCAGAATATAGTAATAAATCACCAGAATTTAGTAAAAAAATCACCAGAATCTAGTGATATATCACCAGAATCTAGTAATAAATCACTAGAATCTAGTGATATATCACCAGAATCTAGTGATCACCAGAATCTAGTGATCACCAGAATCTAGTAATAAATCACCAGAATCTAGTAACATATCACCAGAATCTAGTGATAAATCACCAGAATCTAGTAATAAATCACTAGAATCTAGTGATATATCACCAGAATCTAGTGATCACCAGAATCTAGTGATCACCAGAATCTAGTGATCACCAGAATCTAGTAATAAATCACCAGAATCTAGTAATATATCACCAGAATCTAGTGATAAATCACCAGAATTTAGTAAAAAAAATCACCAGAATCTAGTGATATATCACCAGAATCTAGTGATATCTCACCAGAATGTAGTGATATATCACCAGAATCTAGTGATATATCACAAGAATCTAGTAATAAATCACCAGAATCTAGTGATATATCACCAGAATTTAGTGATATATCACCAGAATCTAGTGATCACCAGAATCTAGTGATATATCACCAAAATCTAGTGATATCTCACCAGAATCTAGTGATATATCACCAGAATCTAGTGATATATCACCAGAATTTAGTAGTATATCACCAGAATTTAGTGATCACCAGAATCTAGTGATCACCAGAATCTAGTAATATCACCAGAATCTAGTAATATATCACCAGAATCTAATATTATATATAACCAGAATTCAGTAATAGTAGTAGTAGTTTAGTAATAGAGCGATGTGACGTCACACGCGCTGGCACGGCGGCCGGCCGGGAATTCTTTTTTTTGCTATAACTTTTGAACGGGTTAAGATATCGTTATCGGGTTTGTTTTGTTAGTTAAATGAAACTTGAATTAATAATTTTGAAAGAATAAATTTTTTTCGAAAACCCTATAGTTTCCGAGTAAACGGAGTGTATTTATTTAAAATTTTAATTCCGGTAAAATTTCATTTCCCTATAACTTGGTGAAATGACTTTTTGAAGAAATGCGATTTGCGTGCAAAAATGGCAAAAAAATTAAAGAATTTGTGGTAAAAGTTTGAAAAAAATCGTTGGCGTAGTTTCGGAGATATCGACCGAAAATTCCAAAAAAGGCGTAATTTTCACAAAAATCCGGCTCGATATTTCGATAGATCTCGTCGAGTTACGTAGGATAGAATTTTTTTCCGATTTTTTCGTACGCTAATAAAGCCGTAAAAAAACACGCCAATGAGTCAGTGAATGTCGAAGATTGTAAACAACGATTTGCCGGTAAAGCCCATTAGGGATGGGAAAAACCCATTATGAGTGGATGCATCTACCTGGATTCCCTGGGAATAAACGACAAATAGTCATTAAATAGTCATTAGGCATCCAATCAATCACCAAATCGTAAACAATCTATTGTTTGCAACAATATAAAAACCGACACTCGAGCCACTGAGAATTCATTCTTCTCTGAGCCTCCGACTCGACCACATCTAATTTACTTGTTGTTATTTATTTATTTATTTTTTTTTTTTTTCAGTGTTCCATCG